TTCCTGAGTTCTCAGATGTTATTCCTCTGTACCCTGTAAATTCACGCCATATCCCACCCTTCAAACCGAAACACAGCCATGCAAACGCAACTGCTTCACGGTAGAAACACGAATGGGACAGAGGTACCCAAGCAATCGACTTTTGTACAAAGTCTCCCTCTGGTGAAATGGAACGTACATTATACACGTAGTTGTATTCCATAGATTCGCCAACGTATATTGAATTACAAATGAAGAATATGGGTAAATTTAGAATATGATTTTAATGCATACCTAATTTAATTACATATATAAATCATCGCTATCATTTCGGCAGTTAAATGTTCACTGCTGAACATAGGCCTCCTCCATAAGGAGCGATCTCGAGCCACTGAGCGACTATAGATTCACTGTCTGTGCAATGCATTTGAGATCGTCGCTCCATCTAGTGGGGGTGATACTAAACTGAGTGTTTTTTCGCTGGATAATAATGGAATGGTAACTCCGCTTGCGCTAACGATATACGCTGGCGGAGCCAGGTCAACTAGGTCAAGCCAGGTCAGTTAGCCCATCGTGATGAATACGCCTGAAATTCAGCACGTTGGTTTCCAGGGAGGACCACGTGGAGGTTGACCTGATAGGGTATATCGTTAGTAATGGGACTGATAATCCGCATTACTAACAATCCCTTCCTCCTTCTAAACGGCGTTTGCCTGTATACGAGTATACCACTGTATAATATTTAGTACCAAACTAAGCAGGACGATTAACAGAAATATTTTTTTCTCAGAATATAGATAAAAGGTATACAATACATACGAAACATCTAAAGCAATATAAAATTACAAAAATATAAAAAAAAAAATATTGTGCGACGATCAAACCCGCGACCATCGGTCCATGAGGCAATTGTATTAAACTAATACACTACCAAGGTCATCATACAAATTGAATTAAACATCTAAACATTCAAATATCTGTCATAACTTTACATATTTATAATATTAATAGAAAAAAAATGGTAAGTGATCTATAGCCAATGCTATTATCAGACGGGCAGTATATTTACCAACCACAAAGTCATCGCACAATCACAGGATAAATTTGTAAACAAAAACTGCGTGAAAACAATCATCGTGCCCAACCAAGCCTATCCAGTGAAATGAGCTCGAATTATGAACCTTTTACAAACGACCCTTTATAAAATAGACTCTAAAATCAATTGCAATTAAGTTTACATTTATCTGTAGGTCCTTTATGAACGATGTGAAGGTGAAACAATCGATCAAGATCAAGGGTAAATTGTTAACAATACTTGATTAATTATAGTAATTGTTGAAATATTTACTTCGCCTCTACGAAATTACAATTGGAACATAAATAGTATTATTATTTTTTTTATTATTATTATTATTATTATTATTTCAAAAGAGTTATAGCCACAGCGAAGTCAGAGCATATTAGTAGAATTGGCAAGAGACTGGCTAGTTTGCCCTCTGGGACTCGAGCTTTCTGGTCTCTTGCCAAAGCTGCACAAGGGAATTTCTGTAAGTCATCTTTTCCACCTTTGCGCAGGGAGGATGACTCGTTGGCCCAGAACGCTAAAGAAAAGGCCGATCTTCTTGGATCCATCTTTGCGTCAAACTCGACATTGGATGACGGGGAGAAACCACCACCGACCATCACGTGTTGTAGGAGCTCTATGCCTGACATTAAATTCACGCATAGCTCAGTGCGTAGAGCACTTTTCTCTCTCGAAATCCATAAGTCGAGTGGGCCTGATGGTATTCCTCCAATTGTGCTTAGGACGTGCGCACCAGAGTTGGCTCCGGTTCTTACGCGTCTTTTTCGGCTTAGCTACTCATCGGGCATAGTCCCAAAGTTTTGGAAGACTGCTCTGGTGCATCCGATCCCTAAAAAGGAGATCGCTCAGATCCAGCTAACTATAGGCCCATAGCTATCACTTCCTTATTCTCGAAGGTTATGGAATCCATCATTAACCGTCAACTGCTCCGGTACCTAGAAGAGCACCGGCTGATCTGTGATCGCCAGTATGGCTTTCGACAGGGACGTTCGGCCGGTGATCTTTTAGCTTACTTAACACACCGATGGGCAGTGGCAATCGAGAGTAAGGGAGAGGCCTTAGCAGTTAGTCTGGATATTGCGAAGGCCTTTGATCGGGTGTGGCATAGAGCGCTGCTTTCAAAGCTACCTTCATTTGGGTTGCCTGCGAGACTGTGCATTTGGGTCGCCAGTTTTCTCAAGGAACGTAGCATTAAGGTCGTAGTCGACGGTGCATGCTCTGATTTAAAACCTTTGAATGCTGGTGTCCCGCAAGGCTGTGTACTATCTCCGACTCTGTTTCTTCTGCATATCAATGATATGTTACAGATAAGTAATATTCATTGCTATGCGGACGACAGTACAGGAGATACATTATATACCGGTCATGCAAAGATCTCGCGGGCACATACCGATGAGTGCCGGAATAGACTTGTTCTGAAATCGAAACTTCACTCCATCAAGTTTCGATCTGGGGTGAACAAAATCTTGTCCAATTTAACCCCAAAAAGACACAAGTCTGCGCGTTTAAAAAAAGACGCCGTTTGTCGTATCTCCTCACTTTCAGGGCACTTCCCTTGATAAAAAGTCAAGTCTAGGAATTCTGGGCGTTGATATATCTTGCGACGTCCAGTTTTGCGGTCATCTGGAGGAGAAGGCTAAGATAGCTTCCAAAAAGTTAGGAGTGCTCAATAGGGTGAGACGATATTTCATGCCAGAACACCGCCTGAAATTATATAAAGCCCAAGTCAGGCCGCATATGGAATACTGTTCTCACCTGTGGGCAGGAGCGCCACAGTACCAACTCCTTCCGTTAGACCGCATTCAAAGTCGGGCGGCTCGAATTATCGATAGTCAACGCCTTACTGTCCGACTTGACCCATTGAAACTGCGCAGAGATGTTGCGTCTCTGTGCATCTTCTACCGAATTTATCATGGGGAGTGTTCTGAGGAATTGTTCGGATTGATACCTGCTGCTGATTTTCACCACCGTACAACCCGCCACAAACTAAAGTTTCATCCCAATCATCTGGACGAGTGGCGGTCTTCCACCGTGCGTTTTTCAAGGCACTTTCTTCCACGCACAACCATTCTTTGGAATCAACTTCCAGCAGCAGTATTTCCGAACCGATACGACAACATAACCTTCAAGAAAAGAGTATATTCCTTTTTAAAAGGCCGGCAGCACACCTGCAATGCCGCTGGTGTTGTGGGTGATCATGGGCGGCGGTAGTCACTTACCATCAGGTGAGCCGCATGCTCGTTTGCCCCCTGTGTTGTAAAAAAAAAAAAAAAAATTATTATTTTATTATATTTAAAGTATTTAACTTCTAACGCTCGTAATTCAAATCTAATACCTCTAAGAAATCTATTTTAACTATTAGAGTTTTTTATCGCTGTCTTTCGTATTGAAAAATTAGCGCAACGAAAAAGATAAACCACTTAATTAGCTTAATTAAGTTTATAAGAGGTTTGACATTTTTATGAAATAGGGAGATAAGGTTTATGTTCGTCGGAAACCAATTACCTAATTGTTGAAATAAGAGAGTAGGAATTGTACCATATCAGGACGACCTTCCGCGATTCTCCCTGAATTTATCGGAATCTGTTGAAGGGTTAAGAAAATAGTTGAACTGTATATACTGTACTGTGTGTATTAATGTTTAACCCACTTAAATATCACTATATTATTTAATCATAATCATAGAGAATGTTTAATTAGAAACAAATTGCAAATCTTCCATATACTTTTTAAAATACTGTGTTCAAAGCATGTCAATATAATCATCTTAAAACTATCGATATAGTATTACCACAGATAATATAACACTATTATTACGAACAGTTTGAGTTCACAACCAAAACAATACATATAGACGTAGTCCAAACCCTCATCTTTAGTTCCCTATAGTTATGTTACTTAATTACCTATTTCTCCTCTTTGTATGTAAATAAAATCTAAACTAGTTGTTAACAAATAAATTATTTATCTTCTTTAAAAAATTATATGAGGGGTCTTAATAATACTAATAGACGCCAAAATAATAATTTTTAGAAATTTTGTCTGTGGCTGTCTGTTTTTTGTCGTTTGTTTAGGCATCACGCAGCAACTACTACATCAAGTTGAATGTGATTTACTCTGTTCTATTTCTGAAGGTGTAACTCAAAAAGTTGTGTATATTTTGTTTATATATGCTATTTAAATGTTGTCTATATTATTGGTGTTATATTTTTAATATCCACGTTTGCTAGGTTGCAAGCAAAAGCTAATAATAAATGTAAATATTGTATAGAAAGCTCATAGACAACGCTGACACTTATAACTGTAGACACATATGTTTATTCGAGATCGAAACTGTAACCATATGATAGCGATGAAATGCGTCAAACTGCTATACCACCCAGATCGTCTAACTATAATTATTATACTTTAATTATTTCGTATATTTTATTTTTCATTGTAGACTTATGTTATGATATCCTGTAGATGTAAAACTATGTCCTTATTTTAGAACAAAGGATCTCTACCTCTCTACCATAACAATAAAAAATTGACTTATATACAATTCATTTATATATACTTATCTATCTGATAATTAGGTATAGCTACATAAAGACCCAGGAAAAGTACCTGATCTATTTTCATAATATGTCTCATTTATATACAAAACACCTGATTGATATTTCAGCCTTAAACGTTCTATCTAATCAAGGTTCAAAATCTAATCAGATATTTTGTACAAGACGAAATCATCAAAATCATTAGTATTCTTTTAAAATATTGTACTGATTGACTTGATAGTTACACTCGCCTTTTTAGTATGTAAAGCTCATGTAATAATAATTTTTAGTTCATATTTCTTTGGTTTATATTTCACTGATAGAACACTAATTAAAAAAAATATTATAATTTCAAACGCACCCATTAATAAGTAATAAGTATATACGTTCATTTTCCTTTTAAACTACTAGTATTTCTCATTCATCAATGCTTTATCTCTATGGTTAAATTAACTGTTTTTTTTTTCTATAAACAACGTGAAAGGCAAAGCTAGGAATCACACTCAATACTCATGCGATAATAGTTGCTGGTCATAATTAATTGCTGTGTCTGGCCGTACACACGTTTACCGTCTTTTTTTAATTCAAAATAAATATACTTTTTAAATTTTTAATTGACTGTAAAAAACACTTTTATTTTTATAATTTTATTTGGTGTTGTGATAATATGATAGATATATTCAAAACTCGTTTATTGGCTTTCAAATGGGAGCAATATTTGGCAGCCTCTTTAGGTAAGTTTGTGTTAAAATTTGTGTTTTCAAATGTTAAATTGAACTATTAAAAAATGTTTAATTATAATTTACAAAATTATAAAATCCAAGCCTATTGTTAGGCCCGCGTAATTTTTTATTCCTAAAATATTTTACGCTTTATGCATCATTTGGTTTTTCCATAGTTTAAATTAAATAACATAAATTGAATACTTTTATTTCCATAGAAAAACAACATATACATCTAAACCTAAACTAAATGGAGCTTGTACTATTGGTAGGTATAAAAGAACTGATAGGTATAATATACAGAAAACAATTTGCCCTTACGTCGTAATTAGATAAATTTAAATTAATTAAGTAGGTACTATTTATTCTATTCATAGAATAGTTTAATCAACTCTAACTGAAAAATCCTCAGTGGTCGGTAAATTCGAATCTGGCTAATACTAAAAATTTCTCTATGAATTAAAATCCACCAGCCTTACTTCACAGATCCTCGCAGTTCTAAATAGTTCTTTTCACTGTAATAAAGCGGGCCAATATTTTGACTGTGTTTATAATATTTAGAAATATTAAAAGAATAAAGTAAACGCTACCAAAATAAAATAAATCACTTTGTTATAGTAACATCTAGCAGTTAGGCGTTTATTGGTTTTTAAATTGATTATAAAAAAATAATATATAGAAATCATGTTTCAGCCAGCTACGGCAGCCTATGCACGGGCATGGCGATGGGATGGACATCTCCAATGCTCCCACAACTCAGAGGTCCAAATTCTCCTCTGCCCCGCGAGCCGACGCTGCAAGAGGAGTCCTGGATAGGGTCACTGCTCGTGTTAGGAGGATTATTTGGTAAGACTTTTTTATCTTATTGGGAAACAGTCTTTTTAACGAATTCCGTGGCTCAGTGATGGGCGCGTTTCTTCAATTCCCGGTCGGTCTATTTATAAAAAAAAAAAACCATTTTGAATATACTCTTGTCTAGGTACCCTAGGTAGTGACCTAGATGTTCGTGCTATGGTTTCTCATAACACAGGATACTTATGAACCAGGATATGGTGCAGTGTAAATGTCTGGCACTTCTTATTAAATATTATTTAAGAGTAGGCACCGCCCTTAGATGTATTACTAGGCACCGCCATTATACTCCTACTATAAATGAAAGCCATATACCACAACCTTTATTTCATTTTGCTGTTTATTTCAAAACTCGTAAGAAATATATTTAGTATGATATTAAAATGTGTATAGATGCGAGAATCGCAAATCCTAGAAGGTATTGAGGAAGTCTATATTTAACACGAGATCAAAAACTATCCAGTTGAACGTGAAATTAGATGACAGTATTCAGACGAATTTTTCCATTTTACGAGTATCATCAGAAAATAATGACTGAAAAAAACTCGACTTTGTTGAATAATAATTCTTAATTTTCTTATGAAAACATCACATTTGTGTAGTTTTTATCAACAGATTATATAATAGTTACTCACAAAAAGTTAAGTCGGATGTTCGGATCAATGGAAATTGAAATGTAAATCAAACAATAGATGTACTTACAACTATAAATAGACAATACGTCAATTACACCAATTTGTCCACAAAAGCCCGTGATTGAGTATTACGCTACGCCTGAACGGATCGGTTTGCCATTAATGGCAAATTCAAATGTAGCCGAATTAAATCCTTGGTCGACCTTCAATTGTAATTAGATCAAAGCTTAACGTTTTTTTATTTTGAAAACAATGACTCGGAATTTTATGATTTATTGTGTTTTGTTTTATTTATATAGGAACTAGACATATTTAGTAATAATGATGCATAAATTAAAGAAATACCCACTTAGAATAAAAAGGTTTAAGTGACTCCACCTCTCCTAAAGGTAACTAGGTATTCTTTATTAGAATAGGCCTCACTATTTCAATTTTTTAAAATATTAGTAAATTTTTTACATTTACTCATAGTATTATTCTCAACAAATCTTTGACAGCTGTAGTCAAAATTAAGAATGGATTTACTTCTTCCAGGTCCCCTTCTGACAGTACCTCTTTCCAAATATATAGGCCGCAGATGGATCATAATGAGCACAAATTTGCCACTTCTCCTGGGCTGGCTGCTGGCTGGGGTCGCCACCAACTTGGAGACGTTGTACGTAGCCAGACTCGCGTGGGGGTGTGCCACGGGCATGCTGTTCGCAACAGTGCCCATCTATATAGGAGAGATTGCTGAAGTAAGTAAAATTTACGACCAAAACAGAAGCTACGCTTTAGTAAGGCACGTCTTCACTTCAAAATGGACAGATATCCCTAATCTATTTTATTCTTTTATGGATAGTGATTATGCTTGATTGCCGTCTCTGATAGTTTTTCCAAAAAAGATAATTTATAACTACTGCTATATGAAAACGCAAATGTAAAATGTTAAATTACTAACTCCCTCAGGACAAAATTCGTGGATCTTTAAGTGCTCTCTTCTTGCTGTTCATCAACGTGGGCTTTCTGCTAGCATATGCCATCGGGCCCTTTACTTCTTACTGGGGTCTGACCGCAGCTGGAGGCATTCTCTCACTATTCTATTTGCCTTTTACTTGGTTCATACCGGAGACACCTTTCTTCTTGGTTTACAAAGGTAATATTTATTTATAATTATTTTGATAATATATTAAAATAATATTTTTCTACCTCCAACTACTGTTCATGTCTATAGGTTATGGTTACCGTTTTCTATCAGGTGGACCGTCAGCTTGTTTACAGTTATTATAATCTAAGTTTCATAAAAAATCAACTGAATCAATAATCAATCAGAAAATGCTTTCTTTCTAATGGCCAATCAAAATGGATAAATAAAAAAATATATATCTTTAGATGCTAATTTTGTTACTTCTTAGGCCGTAACGATGAAGCTTCAGAAGTTCTACAAAAACTACGACGAGCAACTAAAGAGGCTGTCCAACCAGAGCTAGAAGGCTTACAGGCTATGATAGCTAGAGAGTTCAAAGTGGAGCCACGTATCAAAGATCTTTGGGCGTCCCGAGGAAACGTCAAAGCTTTAGGTATGTAGATATACGTACACACGAGTATTTACCTATGTCTAAAAATTTTCTTACTTAGTATTCGTGAAATTCATAACTTTTTATATATATTGCTGGAAATGACAAAGCTTTTGACGTCCAATATATATGAGCCACCTGATCCAATTGAACTATAAAACGAAAAATCAGCTAGGTACATGTTATGAAAGGTGACTAATATAACAAAACACCATACCAAAGTAAGAGCAGAAAAATTCTAAACCAAATAAAAAAAAAAAACATGTCTCTTAATAGATCTATACAGATTGAAATTAATTTATTAAATCATGTTGCAAATTTAAATTCGCCTAATTTTCATTTAGATATTTAATTAAAAAATGTTTTGCTGCAGGCATTTGCGTGTTTCTTGCGATGTTGCTGCAACTATCTGGTATCGATGTCCTACTTTTCTATATGGAGGAACTACTTGCAAAAGTTGGCACTAAGATATCTGCCTCTGATGGTACTATTATTATGGGAGTTGTACAGGTAAACATAAAAAGTATTTCAAATAAATATAAATTATACCTGAACGGACCCATTCTAGCTTTAAACTAAGCTTTAGATAGAATTTTCGAAAATAATATATAAGCTGTTACTCACTGATGATGTAAGCTACATGTTCTGTACATGAAAGAATTTTTTTTTTATCGGTTGAGTAGTTTTGTGAGTTCGTCCATTACAAATAAACAATCAAAGCTTTCTTCTATAGATAGAATTATAGATACACTAATTCAAGAATTTGTTACACGGGAAACTGACTTCAGTGTCGTGAAATTAATATGGGACACAATATTTTAATGTTAATTTTTTAAAATAAACTGTCGAATTGAAAATTTCTTGAGGTCAATTGAAAAATCGTTATTGTCAATACAATAGAGAAGTTTATTCAATTTAATTTTAATTAAATATTTATTTGTCGATGTAACTTTTTAATTGCTAAGTTACTACTGTTGCATCATATTTTAAGTTTTTTAATCTAAGAATGTTATAGATACATTATGATCCTTCATCATCCTTATTTAAGAATTGTGCTACTACCGGTACAGTAAGTATTTAATAAAATAAATTGATTTAGGTCGTGACGAGTTGCATTACCCCGTTGGTGGTGGACAGGCTTGGCAGGAAATTGCTCATGTGGACCACCTCGCTTGGACTTACTATTTTCTTGGTAAATAATTGAATTATAACTGCAGCCATATACAACGCAATCTAGCTCCTAATATCATTGGAATTAAAAATATCATTTATTCCCTACGTATGACTTACATACGAATACATACAATAAATTCTTAGTCAAATATAAACAATGTACACTTGTCTCTAGACAAATAACAAACTAATTTGTCATTAGATGTTTTCGTTAGCGTATGCATTAGGAAGAATAATAAGCCAGACTTTACTTTTTTATCCCACTTCATTGACGCGGTAACTTATTCTTTATTGCACAATAAAATTGGTACAAATGGCGAGATTAATACCGTATGACATTCTCTACCAGCTAACCATTAGGTGAAAACAGAAAGCGTTTGTCGGCAATGGTAAGGAACATACATTACACAAAAAATTAAATTCACATATTAATATAAACGTATAAATAATTGGTATAAATATATAATATATATAATAATAATATTTCGATGGATTTGTTTAATATTTGTCTAGGAGAACAAATACATATAACTTACATTTTTATTCACATGTAATTTACATTTCAAATAGATAGGTGTACCTAGAGAAAGAATTACCTTACAAAATATTACATCTATACATTGTTCAGGCACTAATCGGCGTATACGCTCTAATGGACTCGTACTACCAGTACGACGTGAGCTCTGTCGCGTTCGTGCCGCTGTTGTGCCTCATCATATACATGGTACTCTTCACGCTTGGTAAGTACGCTTCTAATTGATCAAGAATATAAGAAAAAATGACCCGTGTGGTCCCATCATAGAATAGGCCCTCCCTTCCTTTCCCGTGGGTGTCGTAAGAGGCGATTAAGGCAAGGCGAGGGATGGGCAGCAACGTCTCTCTTAAAACACCTCGAAAGCCTAACTGCGGTTGCCAATCCCCCTGCTAAGTGGTAACTACTGGCAAAACCCCTATAGAAAGAGGCTTATGTTCAGTAGTGGACAGTTAAAGGCTGATATGATGATGATGATGACGATATTGTACCTTACAATAGGTCTTTATGGTGATAATAAGTTAAAAGGTTGATTGCAGGCGTGGGCCCGGTACCATGGATCTTAGTGGCAGAGATGTTTCCCATTAAAACCAAGTGCCTAGCAAGTGGGATCGCCTCGTTCATGTGTTGGCTCGCTGGATTTATATGGACAAGGTAACGTAATAAACACGGATTTAATAGCCTACGGTTTTCTATACTCAGGAAAATTTCCTAAGTTAATACGAATGTAAACAATTAAATACCTAACCATAATTTTAAAGTGTCATATAAACTTGATGCAAAGGGAATTCATGCGCCAATTTCACCTAAATAGATTAAATATTGGACTCATTTAATTTATATTAGCTGAACCTAAATCAGAAATATACCTTGTCAGATCGACTTCTACGTGGAAACCATCCTACAATGGAACAAACAACAAACCCTGGAAACCATCGTGCCGTTTCATTCTCACCTGTCACCCCTCACTGAAGCTCCGCCAGCTTATACCGTTAGCGTAGGCCATTTCATTATTATCCATTAAAAAAAATACGTAAAGAAGGTTATAAGTTCTAAAAAAAATTTAAACAAAAAGTCAGTCTGTTGACGTCCGATAACTACGATTCTAATGTACGATTACTAATTTCATTAAATAGTATTTTTGTGTTAATTTCGACAAAACTTATCTTATTTTTCTAAAGTTCTATTGAAGCAGAATATAGTGGTCCCGTTGCTAGTAAAATATTCTATCAGGTTGACCTCCACGCGATCTCCCTGAAACCTTCACTAATACGTCGTCAACGGAAGTCAATATTGCAGACGAAGTTACCTTTCCATCCATTTTTGCAACTACGTAAAGTCTACTTGATTCAAATTCTCTGCTTGACTGCATTCACTAACAACTCTATATGTTGTTCTTTTATTACCTCTTGTTCCAATTTAAATAGATTACTAAGACAAAATTGCGTTGTATCTATAATAGAGGTATTTTTTTATTCTAATTATAAATATTAGCCTAATTATTGAGGTATTTATAATTTACATTAATGATACCAAGGAGAAGAAAGGTTCTTGAATGGCGTACCCATACAGGCAAACGCATTGTAGGACAACACCCACTAGAGGGGAAAGGGATTGTTAGTAATGGAGACTAAGAATCCCATTGCTAGCAATATACCCAACCAGGTCGACCTCCTCGCGATTCTCCCTGGAAACCATCATGTTTAAATCTTGGCGAATTCATCATGGTGAGCTAACTGACCTGCATTCATTCTCACCTATCATCTTTCACTAGTGCCTCGTTGGTGTATACCGATAGCGCGGGCGGGATTACCATTATATTTTTTTTTGATGCGTGAAAATGGTATGGTAGCCCCGCCTGCGCTAACATTAAAAAATAGATGAAAATGAAAACCCCCACTGATGATGGAATGATAGTTTCGACCCCAAATGAGTCAATAAAGTCAAATGAGAGGAGTGACGACCCCAAATGCATTGCAAGGAGTCAATGGATTTAGGTGGCTCAAAACTGTTCCTTGTGGCAGTGTATTGAGGAACAGCAGTGGACAGGTGATGGCTAAAATGATGATGATGAAAAGTAATTTTTAAATATTGCGGTTTTGTTTGACACTCTGTTTCTATTATATTTATTCATTACGTTACTGTAGTAGATGGTAGAATCAAGCGAATTTATCAAAAACCTAAATAGGCTGGAGTTAAAGCGGTAGGTTTTAGGGGCCGCAAATTGAAGCAAATTATCCTTATATTGTACTGTTTGCGACAGATTTTTTCGCGATGTTGCTGCGTCTTACGGCATTTACACAGCTTTCTGGATCCTGGCTGTGTGTTGTGGCATCGGATTCATATTTTCTGCCACACTGCTCCCAGAGACCAAGGGCAAGACCTTCGACGAGATTCAGGACATGCTCAACAACAGGTAAGAAATAACAATTAACAAACTGGGTATCGAAAATTATATATGTTTATTACCGCGGTTTCGCCTGCTTTAAATATTTGTTTAGACATACTCGGCAATTCCAGGTATACTGTAGTACATCAATAGTCACATGGTAGGAATGTTTTCTGTTCCTGTGGGTATTTTAGAAAATCCTTAGTTGATACTTCAAAATTTAAAATATCTTACCTGATAAAAGATATTAGGAAAAGCCTGTATCGAGCAGTGGATAGATACAGGCTGAGAATCCTAGCTGCTTTCAGACTATCTGGTAAATTAATCGTTAAATCATTCAGTGGCATACTATCACACAAACAGCTTCCTCCGCAAAATTATTATGCTAATTTATAAGAAATTGAAACCGGGGCTTCGTTTACTCAATGCATCGTGTCTATAAGGACGTCGATTTTAAAATACAGACAGTCTCTTACGAAATAATACAGTGGGTATTCCTTTGTTAGACTTGTCACATCACATGACGCCTGTATGCAACGATTACAATAAACAAATCGCAAATCGTGTCATAATCTAACTCCATTCAATAATAAAAGCTAGCTTTATTCTTTTAAAAATATTGTAATCCCTAATATTGCAGACGTATTTAGGATATTGTAACCGTTTACCATCATTGTACATGCTTCGGCAGTAAATATACTAAAAAACCGTTTACCATCTGACAGGCTGGTTGCTTGTTTGCCGCCTTTGTAGTATAAAAGTTTGTAAAAGTACGTATTTGATAATTTTTACATAAGATTTCATTTCTAATAACATTATATTAATTGCACCATATTACAACAATTTTGTTCTACAAAATATTTCTATAATCTTAATATTTCTATATACATATATTATTATATTTATTCTTTACAGAACAAAAGAAGAAAAAGAAGGCGATGTATGATCCCATTGTTTATTTTCTGTTATCATAATAATTAGATAAGTATAAATGTAAATAAATATTATCAAGACTTCCTATTGTATAATTTTAATGTAATAAAAATCTAATAAACTGTTGATACAATTTTATTCTATTATAATTCTTACATATTAATTTTATATTTAATAAAAATACAATAATAATATTTAAATATGTTAATGTAATTATCTCTGGAACTGTAGTGGACAGATTCTCAGTCCTAATACGTCTTTGCCGATCTCCGCCACACCGCAGACTGCACACAGTTTACCTTTGTGTTCTGGCAAGTAGCTAGCACTGCATAAAGGACACTTCTCTTCTGGTTTCCCTCTGTATATAGGTTTATAGCTAATTCCACATATATTAAACGGATTATGTTCATCATACAACAATTGGTGTTCGTCTGTGGGAGTTTTCTCGCACGCTTGAAGTATTTTTCTCGCTTGTTGAGCCACTTCGGGCCTTGGACCTAGTTCTAGGAGTCGTCTAGCGAAGGACGCAGCTGTGCGGAAGTTCTTCAGTTTGAAGAACATATTGAGGGCTGTCCGTAGAGTCAATATCTGGTGGACTGGCTGAAGTTTACAGTGAGTAAAGTATGCGGCCATTTCGCATGTGCGTTTCTGTTCTTCTAGTGTATTTTTGGGCATTGCTGTAAGAGAAAGTATTTAAATATACATCTTGAATTGCAACAGATAAAAAACTCGCAAATATAAATTTATATTGTAATATTATCCCATTGGCCTTATGAGGAAAAGTCCATGACCAGCAGTCAGAAATTATGGGCTTGTTCTGGAAATGAAACTTTACATCCCGGGTCAACATTTTAGATACTTTTAATCAAAGAAAATTAAGGAGTTTCCGTGGGATAGTTTAAAAACTATAGTAACTTATACAGCTTAGTACACAACCTACTTAAGTCAAAGTTTTGACCTAAGGCAAAGAGCGATTTCATAAGGGAAAGAGTCATTTGGTAATTTTGGTCCAGTATTCACAAACATAATAAATAGGTAGGTACATACATTGACACATACTAAACAAAAATAACAAATAGCAGGCAAATAAAGTTCCGGGCATCAGCTAGTTCCAAATAAGTTTTGATATGAAAATTGGTTTAAATATAAAGCTGTTGAAAAGTCACATTTTTCAACTTCCATATCCATATATTTAAGATACCCAAACTGCCCAATTAAAAAAAAAAATTCTGGACTCCTTATTACCTTTCCTGGCAGTTTCCATTTGCAGACCGAGTAGGTACTCTTTACATATATTGAGTAGCTGTTGTGCCTCTGTGAGTTCTGTCTTCGTGTCGACGTGTAATAGGGGCACGCTCTGAGCGATGCGCTGCAATCGCTCGATAGCGTCAGTGAACTTGCCGGCGGTGGTTAGCTGGTAGCATTGTTGCAATTGTGTCACTAGATCGTTCAGTTTTATAGCTGAAAAAATAATAAAAAAAGAAAGATATCTCATTAATTTGTTGTGGATGTGACATGTGGGGTTTAGTTAAGATGTTTAAGTTTACCAGAAAGAGGTTTCATACCCGTACAAAGCTGAGATAGCTAGCTAGCTACTTGAATATAGTTTTTACCTGTTATTTCGGCTGCGAGATAGAATATGTCGACAGACTGGAGTAATAATAGCCTATTTCCTTCAATGCAAATAATACCTGTTTACTAAAGGGCTAAATGTGTTGCCAAGAGTAAAACTGAAAAATGGCTGGATCACTCAGTTACTTTTTTTTATCAAATATGTTGCGGTCCAAAGAGGCATCTTCTTCTTTGGCAAAAAAAGATTCTTATGACAGGAAAAATAGGAGTAAAGGTCTGAACAATGTAAAACTTCATTTTTTATTTTCACACTTTCTCTATGACAGTTCATCTATTGGGTTAGCTAGTTTTTAATGTTAGTAAAGGTAGACATATCTACCTTACTTACACGTGTTACCTCATAAGGTAACACGCACATATAAGAAGGAATTTGTAGTGATGGGGTCTAAGTGCCTCATTGCTAGAAACATTTTTATTGGACCTGGTAGGGTACCAGGTCTAATTCTAAGTGGCCTCCCCTAGAAACCATCGTAAATTCTTGGTGATTTTGTCACAATGAGCCAATGTATACCAATAGCGCAGGCGAAGTTAGCGTTCCATTATCATCTTAAAAATACTAACTGAGCACAGGGAGTAAGTCTTTCCCGCTGGCCTCCTTCCAGTTGCGGTGCAGGAGCGCGGGCAGCGGCGGGACGCTCGCCAACCCGCCGAACCACATACGCGCCGCACCATACATATTCAGGAACTGCTCTGAGTATGGTGAAAAGTTCACGATGCCCACTTGCTCGTTTAACAATCTGTGAATGAACGAAAGATATTTTATCTGGTTGTCAAATAAAAGAGGGTAATGATTTCAGGTTTACAAACAAATAATACTATACAAACATATATACAAATGTATATGTTTAGATATTTAGAACAACATGTAGAATACTAATTTATAATAAATAGGGTGTCACAAAATTGGTCTCAATTGTAATATAGACTACATAAGTATAAAATTCTTTTAACAGCCATAAATATCATGCGGTTCAGAATCGAGAAATAAAACCTTTTGATTTCCTGGTTATAAATATATATATGCTCTTAATACATAATATTATGTTTATAACATTAACACTAAATAAGTTTTTATATATGAACAGTAGATTACCATGAATCAACATAAAATTTTAAGAACTTTCCATAAATATTCAAGTACATAAAGCATCGATAATAAAAATACAATTTTACTAATAAAACATTGTCTATGAATAATTTATTGAATTCAGCGATACCATTCCTAAATAAACTAGCTACATGGAATACGAAAAAAACATATACCTGAAGGCGATCTCAAACTGTCCAGTAGCAACATGATCGTGTGCGGTGCGCAAGCGTGGCGAGATCGCGGCCGCCGAACCTCGGGTTGGCGCTACGAAGTATGAACCCGCCTCATCGCCGCCATCTATATCCGCTGCCGGAACAATGTTCAATAAAATATTAAACTAGCCATATTTGTATCGGGAATAAGGTAAAACGCGATTTTATTTGGCAAACAATACATACATATAGCATATATGTATAGTTTGCCAAATACAATTTTAAGACTTCACTCAATAAAAATTTCGAAAAAAATACGTAATAGTGACAATTTAGTCTGAAAATAACACCCGTAAGTAAAATATAAACAGTTTTAATTAAAAAAAAAAAGTTAAGTTAAATAGTCAATAAAATATTCTTTCACAAAAAAAAAATAACATTGCCCTTAATATGACAAGATTCGATCGAACAATATTAAAATCTATCGACTGCAAAAATTTTACAAAATTGATTCATAATTGACGAAGATATTGCGTAATATACAAATAAACTATACAACAAAATTTAACACGTTTTAGAAATTGTTTTAAAATCAGAATATATTATAAATCAATGTGTTTAGAATTTATTTGAAGAAATATATGTATAAGGTTATTTAAACACCAACCAGAGACAGGTGCTAATTCCTCGGGCAGCTCTATATCCTCGTCGCCGACGTCCCAGCCGCCGTCCGACCCATCTTCCGCGGCCACGTCCTCGCCTTCTAACACATTCTGTATTCACATGCAATAAATTAACGTTTGTTTTAATTTTAATTATTACAAATCAACACCCGCAGTTTTTTCCATTCTACCCATCAGCTCGTCCTTCAAATTATAATTATTTTATCAGAACCCCTTTTAATTTGAATAAAACGGGGAAAATCCATGATTGTATTGTAATTATACATTTTATGTTTAGTCATAAATAAATTCCTTATGTATGTAACTCAATAAACTTATCCTAATACAAATTAAATAATAGACCTACATTAACAATTAACTATAAAACATTGTTGTAATTTATCATATATCGATTAATTAAATAACTTTCGATAATTAAATAAATATAATAACGTGAGTACAAAGACTAATGAACAGGTATAAAGGCAACCTTTACCAACTAGTTTTATGACGTAAGTGAATCACAAAAGCGCGAGCGCTACCTTCTCGTCGAGGATGTCGTCGTCGTCTCCCCAGGCGCCGGCGGCCTCCAGGGGCTCGTCACCCACGGCCGCAGCTGCTATTGCACCAGCCTCGGCACCTGCACGAGCACCGCCAGCCACTTCGAAGAAACTCCTAAAAATTGCGTATTTTTAATATGCAGGATTAAATAAAAATGGTTAACCATATGCAAGACTAACAATCTACTTGAGCTAGATCTAGATTATATTAAGATAAAATTGTCGTAAATCAAAAATTCAAAAACTACAAAATAAAATTTCATATTCAATAACATATTAAAACTTTAAAGTTGAACTCGCCATATTAGTATGGGAGGTTCACTACCATATTCCTGTGGTGAAAATGTTTCATTTCACTGATAGAACACTGCCTTAAAACAACCGCCAACTGCCTAAGAACATTCCCAACAATGTAGACTTCACTTTGCAGATTGTTACTTCTGCATTTCAGGACACTAAAAATAGAGTCACTCGTTCCTAGCTAGCTATTTTAGAGTAGAGTAACTCTGAATATCTACCAAAAAATAAAAGGTATAACTACTGAACTAATTTTGATAAAATTTCTATGGGACCAATCAGTAAATCAGAGAAAAAAAAAATTTTCGCAATTAGTTTAGTCGGTTGAAAACAATACAAGATAAAAGTCATAAAGTAAATAACTGTGACATACTTGGAGACAGCTAGCAGTGGCCAGTTGTGGTGCGCGCGGTGCACGGGCAGCGGCGGCCGCAAGGCCACGCCGTCCTCCTCGCTAGCCGTAGCAGTGGGCACGGCCAGCCCTGCCGCCTCCAGCGCCGCCTTCAGCTGTACCGCTTCCTCCTCTTGTTTATGGTTGATAGCGGTAAGATATGCAAGTGATAGCTGTAACAAAAACTTATAAATATAACATACTAGTCCTTACCGGTGACTTCGCCCGCGTGATCAAAATTTATTGATTTATGTCCTTTTTTTGGACCAAAGATAATATACAAATTATATCCATTGTCTCCAAAATCTTCAAATCGCCACCTAAGTATAAGTTTAAATGCTTTCTTAATAACCCAGCCACATTTCAAAAGAAAAATTGCATTAACCACTTCATACAAATAAGTTTTGGTTAGTACATTATAGATTCCTGGTCTATCCAGTGTAAAAACATGTAATTTAGAGATTTTTAACTAGTATTTAGACAAACATTATCATAAAGAAGTATTAAACTAGCCTTTTCTCCACTTGACTCCAATTGACAACTTAATACTAATTGTTTAATACTAATTAATATAATATATAAAAAAACATACATACCTGACCAGCATTTTTCAAGAGCCTTATCCTCTCTTTAACATCACCCAACAACAATGCACCCTGGAACTGCGCGGAGACATCTTTGCGTATCTCCGCAATCTTCATCATTTTCCGCAATTTGTCTAAATTGCCCGTGATTAGATATAAGAAGGACAGTTTGTCAAAATTCTTGGTACGTTGGTAACACATCTCTACGATCTGAAAGCATAAAAAAAGCACTAAATTTTTTTCTGAAATGAATTCAATACATTTATTTTTTATAACTAACAAAAAAGACTGAAATATAACTAAATTTTTTAAATTATAATCCAATAATTATACTTAATAATCTAACTCCACTACATTATATTTATTAATACTTATTAATTCTTAATACCAATAAAATTACAAAGAAAATTTAAGAATACTACAAAATGATTGTATCAACGAATTTAAATACAAACAACTTCATTTGCATTTATAATCAAGTAAAGGATACTATATAATTAAAATATTACTTACTTGGTGGTTGCCAGTAGCTAAAGCGGCATTAGCAAGCTTATCCCATGCGGCCGGCTCATCTAGACTTTTGGCGGCTTCCAACGCTACCTCAATATTGCCGCATTGCAACGCCAGGGAGAGTCTCGTGCGGGCGTCTTTTACGAAATGTAAAGCGACCTCGGGGTAGCCTTGTGAGAGAGAAGAACATTAATTAACAGCGGACATTTCAGAGTCATAAAAACACTAAAGTGAGACTATATATAAAACTGATTTGTAGATAATAATTTAGGTTATTCTGTTTCTTGACTATGTGTCAGCTTGAAGAGTAAGGTATGGTAGTTAAACTACAAAGTATGGTAAGATAACACAACTTTAGTTCTCAGAAATGACATATATAAACTGTAGTGATAGTAATATAGAAACAGGCAATATGAAAATAAGAGAAGGATAGGTTAATAATTACCTTTCTCCTGCAGGTATGCAATGATACTTTGACCAACAAGCTTGGCGGTTCGTACCATGTGGAGCACCTGATCATACTGACGGGTCACCAACGCCAATTTGAACCTACATACACATACAAAGGCATTTACTATGTTTCGTAAGTACACATAATATTTTGATGTAATAACTACCAGTTTAACTTACGTGTAATTATATTGAGAAACCTTGACTAGTTTCGGGATGAATTCGTGACCCTTAATTGAGATTTCTCACTTTAAAATTGGTGACTGTTAGTTGTTTTTGACTTGCAAACACATCTCAATAAATATAAGATTGCAAATATTGCTACCACTAGTTTTTGAGGGAAATAATATAGGAACAGTTTATTGCAAGCGTTGGCATGAAATATGGAGTAGGTATGGAAGCATAACATCTCAGTCTTCAGAAAACGCGATATATAAGAAGTAACACCTGCATGACAATATATACGTACTCATTAACATTGGTATCCAATGTTCACATTAACTTTCATGTCTATAAGTGAAGTGGTTATCATTTTGCAGTACTCAGTTACATAAAGACATCACACCTGTACTCAGTGGGGTCGATGTTGAGCACCTTGGGGCGGCATTCACGGTCGAGGCAGACAACTCTAGCGCCTGCTTCGTTCGCCACCACCTTCACTGCATACACTGGCACGTCCAGCGTGCGAATTATACCGTAGTCTCTGTAATAACAATTTATCGTCAACAAAAAAATGTCCTACTGCTGCATACTCATTTCATAAGATGATGGTATTAGCATAGATACTATTATCACGCTGAACAGGTGAGTTGGTGACTTTATATAGACAAATTTTATTTTTACTCTATTTACAACACAAAGATAACAACATTTAGACTAGTTTTAGATAAAAATCGCATACAATGCTACGTTTTTAAATCGTAACATAAGTAGGTGTTTGCAAATTCTACTAAAACTGTTTAATTTCATTTTATACAATATTTTTTACAAATATACCTGGTTGTTATTAACGTCAATGAGTATATAGATACCACAATGTTTTAATATCCACATACAAGCAAGTGGCAGCATAAATGTATTTATTCGTTTATAAAATTTCAAGAAGGTCAGTTTAAAAGAAAATACATAATGTGAAATCTAGAATTTCGTTCTTTGCTTATTGTAATAAAAAAAAACTTACCCATCCTTACAACAGTATTTAATATGATTAGCTGTGGTATATATGAACACTGGTTGTGGCGTGGAGTCGTCAAAGGCACCAGACTTGACCCGGGCACCTTCTGTGATACTACAAAGCTGCTCTAGCTTCTTGGTGCACAGGGTGACTGTATGTTTACCGAGCAATGCCACTAGAGACATGTCTGAATTCCAAATAGCGTATCGGCACTTTGCTATTTTTACCTGTAAATAAAATTGAACTAACTTCATGTTTGTTTTTTGTACTATAATGGTGGCAAAAAAGCATATGACTCATTGTCATATGCTTTTATGATGTCAAATAATTAACAATATAAACATAGCCTATGGACTCCTATATTACCTCTTATCCTATATACGTGACCATCTAGCTTCTATCATTAGCTATTTAGAATAATATACACAAATGTTTGGTGCAGAAAATTAAGTACCACTAACAGAAGTTATATGTTCTTATCAGTGACCAATCTCCGGTTATTAAGTTTACAACCATCACTTCTAAACTTAATAAAGATCAAATGTAGATCATTGATGAGATTATTGTCTTTTTTTTTTTATTTTAAAAGTTGAATTAACTAAAATAATATAAATTATTTAAAGCGATTACGGTAAAGCTGGTATACACGAATTCAGACGGATTAACCCGAAAGAACAATAAATGAAATATAATTTCTAAGAACAGCAACTTTCTTAATCTTATAGAGTCAATGTTGCGAGCGTTCATTAGCAGCTATGTACCTGAAGATAAATCATGTGCTTAATTGCTTATTGTGCAAAAACAATAAATAAATATACTGACGCTGGCTATGGTCCTCTTCTGCTGTACATCTAGTAGTTGTACGCAGTCGGGCTCGCGTAGTAGCAGCATGCCGGTACCCGCGTACATGATCTCCTCGCATGTCGGGGTCGAAATTTTTTTCGACACTTCATTCTTTAAGTTCTTTATCACGAGCTGTAAATTAAAGAGGGCATGTGTTACTAACCAAATCTCTGCCCGCATGAATTAGGATAAACAGTGCAATGTTAAAATAATTTATAAAAGTAATCAACAAATAACAAGGCAGAATATATTGAAGATTTTACTATTTTCGTCTATCAACTTATTCCTGTATCATCATGGCATAGGAACTCTTAAATTTTTTTATCTTGCCCTTACATTTATCATACTAGCGCCCAAATATCATTAACATACTTTCAACGACATAGAAGAGATATATTAACGAAAATAACATTAGAACAATTTTATACTGTAAAAAAATATACGTAAGTAATAAAATGTAAAAAGTAATATACCTACTGTACAATATAAACAACAACAATGAAATCCCAACCTTTTGTTTGTTAGTTTTACAGTTTAGAATGGATAGGACAATAATCAGAATATTCTAAAAAATAACTGTCGTGTCTGCTAAGTTAATACCTGATTGTTCTTCTCGAGTGCGGCGAAGCGGTTTCTGGCAACCCAGACAGCGCTGGTGGCGGCTGCTCGTGCTGGTTCCGGAGGAGCGTCCCCACCTTCGCGACCCTCGCGCGGCGCCTGGTACAACTCGTACGAGCTGCTGTCGCCCACTCGCCACGTCACCAGCACGCACCACTCCGCGTGGTTCAGCGACATGCTGATATAGAAGTAATCATTAAGCTTCTCTACATAATATAAAAAATACAAAGTCGCTGCCTACGCTTATACCTCCACTTCTCGCAACGGATTTTGATATGGATTTCATTTTTATTTAGAAATTTATCGTATGTACAATAATCCTCCTTATCGCAATTTTTTACTTTTATATAAATAGATAAATTTAACATTTTGTAAAACAGTTGTGCAAAGATGAGGCGACAAGTGTCGAAAAAAATCCAAAAGATCGACAACAATTTAACAACAGTATCCTTCGGCTGAAGCATATATTTTATTTGATTAAATGTGCGCTATTTTTCAATGTCGCCAATAATCCGATAAAACATTACCAAAATCTGATTACTAATATTGCTACTATACTGATATCTAAAGAGGACTTTTCGAACTTTTTAAAAACTAACCTGTATGGCTGGTGTCGTCCGCCGCCCTTGATCTGCATAACCGGCGCATCACGATTGGTCTGCATATCTAATTTACGCAATTGTCTGCAAACATATGTATTAAATAATTATATAATAGTTGTAGACTTTTCACACAGAACCATCTAGTTAGATAGATGCATATTTTGTGAGTATACATACAAACTGCATTCTGACTCCAGGAACGACACCCTCACATAAACAGTATTCACCATATCATATCATTAATGGTATATATTCACCATGCCTCCCTAACTATGATATTGGCAGAATTACCAATCAAAATTAGTGGCAACCATTTAAGTTTTTAAGAAGAATAATATCTAGCATCAAAACTAACAATAGTAATAAATTATTATTTCAATATATTTACACTCACCTTTCCTTTATATAAAACAACATATTGTTGTGGACCGCATAGGCGGGCCGCTCTCGTTGCAGCTTGAAGAGTATCATGCCGGCATCATGGCCAGCCGCGAACAAGTTCAAACTCGGGTGTGACGTAAGAACCCAGTATCTACAAATAATAAAAATTTATTTGATTATAATTTAGTGAATAATTTGTGAACCTCTCATACATTCCCAGTTTCACAAATACAGCAATACCCCGAATTTAGGCGTAGGTATTACGGCATATGACAATAATTTCACACACAACTGCACACTTATGATTATTATATCCGTGGGAAACTAAAAAAAAAATAATGTTAATAACTTTGATTTCATGTAAGTTGGAGTAATATTATATAAATCGAGGTATATATTTCCCCTATTCAAGTAATTCTGTCGTTTTATTCTAATATTATAGAAAAGATGCTCACATTTGTATTCATCAAATTCAATTTTGAGAGACGACAAACAAAGACTACCTCTTGAGTGCATAAGCTTTTATGTTGACTAACCTCTCGTTCTCTCTGCGGAAAGTATGCAAGCAAGTCCGCTTGGTCATGTCCCATACGCGAATAGACTTGTCCTCGCTGTTGGAGAGAATTAGCTCGTGGCGCGCATGGAACAGCACGCACGACACATTGTTGTAGTGTCCACGGCAAGTGTCCACCTCCCATGCCTGTATCAATAAATGTGTCCATTGTTCATACTAAGCCCTTACACATCAAATTAAAATCACAAATGTAAAGAAACTAATTAGGTAAGTATTACATTATGAATAGTTTCAAAACATTGTTATTCTATTATTAAACAAATCAATTTCGCATACCAAAGGATTTATTAATATAATAAACTAGAATCATGTTACAAACTTCATCAGGTAAATGCGATAACAACAGTGTCACAAAAATGCTTACGTATTGAATAGGTATTATATTACTAAAATAATCAGAATTGTAATTGCGTTAAATTAATTTTATTTAAATTATTGTTAAGGTTTCATTCTTTATATATACAATGCTTAGTATTTTATACTTTTATATTAAAACAATCCTTTTGCTGCCAATTTCGGTGTTACTTTTATATTCTATACTCTTGTGTGCTTTTGTTATACCACATATTTAGTAATGATAAAAAGGAATATCACTAATAGAAAATATAAAATTTATTAGCAATACTAGTAAATTATTAATGGGTTTATGAGTAGGTACTCTGAAGGTACATGTGACGATGTTGTGACAAAATGAAACAATGAGGTCAAATGCAAAATGCTAATGAGGCACAAGCACATTATTACATACATCGCGCCACATACAACTATGTATTCAGAATAAACTGCAAAATTCTACAGTATACATACCTTAGCGTCATTCATCCTCCACAGTTTGACTTGTCTATCATCAGCGGCAGACACGATCAGCGGCAATGATGGGTGAAATGACGCCCAATTCACTCCACGGTCATGGCCTTCCAGCACATGCTTTACTACTGCATCAGCCTATAATTATACAAAAAAATAATAATAATATCTTATAACAATAAATGCTTTTTTTAAACTTCTTATATGTAACAAAAAATTTCTACAGACAATCAACCTAAAAATTTTGTTAACTTTATCTTATCACTGAACACAAAAAAGGGTTAAAAGAAATGATTTAATTTTTGATTTGCTTCATACAATTATTACAAAATTATATTTGTTCTGTGCTGAAAAAAAATTACTTCTATAAGATACATAATAATCTATTCTATAGCTTCGGGTGGCTCCAATACAATTCCATCTTAAAATTTTATATGTCTATTTTTTTATAGTAAGATATATTGAAATTTTTTAAGCATTGTAAAACCTTATACTTCATAACCATCATAAAAAAGACACATCACTCACCTGCCCAAATAAGTCAGTGGCCTGTGGATTTCTCAAATGTTCAGCCAAACCGGTGGGACCTGGAGCAACACTCTTCTTCCTCAAGCCTGAGAAGTCCCAGACACGTACAGACTGGTCCAATGATGCCGATACCAATAGATCTTCACTGGGATGGAATTGGGCACACATAACATAGTGATTGTGGCCAGTAAGTACACTTATACATTGACGAGACTGCCAGTTCCATATTCTAATAGTCTACAACAAGTACAGTAATATTATTGACAATTTATATTATAATTACCTAGTATTAAACACCTTTCAGTGTTAAGTCTGCCATATATACCTATATTTATATTATGCATTACAGTTTAAACAACTATATAGAATAAGATTGGAGTCATTAACAGTATTTGGAAAAATGAATATAACCTACTTCTATTCCAAATTTACTTCAAATCTGTTTAGCTATTTAAACATGATTAAATAACAAATATAATTTAAGTAAAAAAAATAAACTTTTAGAAAGAATTCAATTTTTGGCAGACTTCAGGTTTTAATTAATTAAATTTTGAAAGTTTAGCCAATTACCTGGTCATCAGAAGCACTTAAAATCCAGGGATATTCATGATGAAAAAATGTTGTCCGAATATAGTCCAAATGGCCAAGTAAAGTGAATAAACAGCGTCTTTGTTTGTAGTTCCATACCTAGAATGTAAATACAAATTTTAATTGTAAAAATCTTATATACAAACAACCTCCAAGAATTTTACATAGTTATATAGGCAAAGGTTAAAAAAAGTATAATAATAATGGTAATAGACATCTTGTTAACAATGTTTTCCTTTATAAATATTGATTAATTTTAAACTTTTGCATTGTGTACATATATTTAAATTTACAATCGGGACTTCATGTGATGATATGACAGGTATTTAGATTATGTTGTGTATACTCCTGATTATAAATTTGAAAAATAATTAAAACATGCACCTTAATATGGCATATAATTGAGATTTCTAATATAATTAGATTAGATGTTCTGAATTAAGTATATTGAATTGAATTCTGCAAAAAACTAAACTTTAAATAGAGTATAAGGTAAGATGTAAAACATGAATAGATATTTTATATTCTTGAAAATATTCCAACTGAAAATTAAAAGTGAAAACGCTATAAAAGTTATAGTAAATAAAAATAGTTTTTACTATATTTTATTACACTATAAAGCTTTTTAAAATAGTCCTAAGCTTAAAGCTATTTCCATATGCCATTATTTAATTATTACTATAATATATTATTACTATTATAAAAATAAAAAGTGACTATTTTCTTAACTTCTACAATATGTTGAAACTGAGTCACAGTACAGAGAACATAAGTCATTTTAGTTAAAGGTGGTTTTAGGCTAATTATGAAACAGAGATCACAGTGGTAATGATGAGACGCATTTCAATATGATCTATCAATTATATTGATCACAGAATCAATATCACATTCAAACCTTTAGTGGGGTTTCATAATATCAATTCATTGAACATTCTATAAACTAATTAATCTGCTGCTTAACTTGGTAGCAATGTAACTATTACATTTGTTTATTGTTATTTTGGAAATACAATAAATTATCATAAATGCTTACGATGATTAGTATGACGGTCAGTGGGTAGCGTCACCACAAGCCATTAAAACATGATGATCAAATATTGATAAACAAAGTGAAATATAACTTACTTTGATCTTATAATCATCTCCGCCTGACACAAATAAAGGCTGTTGGATATGGAAACAAATGCCACGTACTGGGCCATCATGTTCATCAAATTTCTCTAATAAAGTACACATACGGTAATCCCATAATTGAATTACACCATTGTGTAAACTTGCTAATACCCATGGCCGTTTCGCGTGAAAGGATATACCTTTCACTCTCGCCGACTTCGTCTCAAATTTTGTTAACATTTTTGCAGATATAGTCAGAAAATTTCAAAGTAATTCACATAAAACATCGATATAAACGTATGATTACAATTGTCAAAACGTCAATCAGACCGGGTGACGTGACACGTCTCCAACTCCTTATATTTATTAATGGCAACTAGAGTAGAATGTATAAGATTATATAAATTAGACTAATTTTAAAATTTTTAGTCTAATATATGTATTGTTAAAAGTTTCGTAAGCACACATTATAATTAGATCGAAAAAGCTCGACTAGTTTCGAAATCAATTCATGATCACAAAGTGTGTGATTACATGGCAAAAAGTAATAAAAAGATAAATTTATATAGAATGAGATTGCATTAAAAATAATTAATTCCAAATCATCTATTTTTTATAATTTTTGTTTCAATTCGTGAACATTCAAAACTTTATTCAAAATATTAGAGCTTCTTTCATACTCCTATGGAGTCAGGTTCACGCTTATATCGTTCAGATCTTGTCTATCTCACTCTAACACATATGTTATTACGTTTTTTCTCTTTTACTTTAACAAACCATATGCTTTATAATCTATTTATCAACGTTCCTCCTAATTATAAAAAATAACACAGATAGGTAGGAACGTTTAGAATCGCAAGGTATTTTTATATCTAAAGTAAAAATCGTGGAATTAATGGAATTAGGTTTTGCTATCTGTATGTATAGGAAACACAGATATTGAGATGCACAATTAAATCACAACATAAAATAATGCCAAAGATGAAAAAGAAATAGAATATAGTTCTTCTTTTGTTTATTCAGTTGTCTAAAATTTGTATAGAATATACGTTGATACGGAAATAATTCTTTATTGTATTATTTCGTAAAATGTCAAAAGAAAGTGTAGAAAGAGCATATGACAAAGGGATACTTATTGTCCTCATCTATGCTAAAGTAATTTTTGACAGAAACAATTCTATATAAAGTCTGTGGTTTTCTTTATTTTGATTTTTTAACCAAGTTTTCGAGCAATATACTTTACATAGATATAATAGTAATCTTATTATTATTCCTACTATTATACTTCATGTAAACTTTCAGTGCTTATAGCACTGTATAGAAAAATAAAGTTTTTAATACTGTAACATAGCGATTATTTCCTCTGTGTGGTAATTGATGGTACTTTAAAAAGACATTAATTACAACCTCAAAACGATATGACTACTGAAAACACAAAAGATATTGGTAAAATATGTATTCCGGGTATGAGGATCAGTTTATTAAACAAAGAATTTATATCTGGACCCGGAACATATGAATTGAAAGGTTATATTTATGCTGCTCTGGCCGGTATTTTGAAAATGGAAAAAGATGAGAATACAAAGGTAAACAGACTAGTAATATCATTAATACATTGACAATAATATATATATATATATATATATATATATATATATATATATATATATATATATATATATATATATATATATATATATATATATATATATATATATATTTTATAAGATAATTATATGAATTTACTTTTCTGTATATAATATATACATAGCAAAATGGTAATAATACTGAGTTTGATTCCAAAGTACCATTCGTCCTATCAGCCGTTAACTGTGCACTGCTCCAATAAAGATTGAGATGCAGAGCTACTCTAAATAAATTGAGCTTGTGTCATATTTCCGGAGGAGTGCCACAGGAAAAACGGGATTTGTGGAGAACATGCATGCTTGCATCTTATATTAAATGCAACAAGATTACTGTCATCCCAATTAAAACCAATAGTACAGTGATAATGAAAAACTGCACAAGGTTTCTATGAATTGAACTCCAACTCAACTCCTTTTCATCTCTAGGTTATTGTAAGAGGACTAAAGTAACAATACATAATATTAGTATAAGTAAAATCCTAAATGAAAACTTATATAAAACAATCTAGACAGCTTATTAATAGTAAGGTAATATCCTTAAAGAGATAGTGGGATGCATATAGGTTTTTTATAATTAAGATTAATACAGCTAATGCAATAAAATTATCAAGTAAATGCTTTTTAATAATTTATTTAAAGGAATTATTTTGTTTTAGGCTACTATAGTATCAGTTGAAAGCCCAAGAACACCAAGTGTATTACCAAAAACAGGGGACATCATAACAGGGAAAGTAACAGTAGTTAATTCTCGTATGGTCAATTGCATAATATTATGTGTTGGGCCATCTGTACTTGTCAGGCCATACAGAGCTGTACTCAAGAAAGAAGATATAAAAGCTACAGATAAAGATCGAATAGATCCATATAAGTGTTTTCGCCCTGGTGATGTAATATTGGCAAGAGTTGTATCCTTTACATTATTTTCTTGTTATATGTTTATTTACTTTATAAAAATATGATCTTTTATTTCTATAGTTTAAATTAGCATATTCTCAATTTCAATATGTGTTGAGATACATATACTTATATATATGTGTAAGAGGTTTGTTTGAATCGAAGCATTTGGCGTTCCATTGTTTCTGCCTACCCTAGAGACAGATATGTATATATGTATATATATATATGTGTGAGTATTTTAGCTTACCAATGGAATTTGTAAGATGTGACTAAGGGAATTTAATGAGGGATGGATAGCAGTGTCTCTTTTAAATCATCATCACAAGCCTAATTGTTCTCAAACTGCCTGCTAAGTGTGGCAACTACTGGCAAAACCTCTGATATGGAGAGGCCTATGTTCAACAATGGATAGTTAATATCTGATATGATGATGTACTTACATCTAAATTTTTTTTATATCACTGAGGCAAACAAGCATATAAGTATTTATCTACATTTTATGAAAAATGTTGACATTTGTTTATCAAAATGAATTAAATATTTTAGAATTATAGGCTTTAGAATATTAATTTGTTTACAAAATTTTTTAAATAGCTATTAAAAATTATAATTATAGAAAAACATAGTTTATTTTCAAAAAACATTTTCAATTACACAAAGTCAACATTTTCCTTGAAAATAAACCATTTAATACCAATGCTTTTCTTGTGAATATGAAATCTTTACATACATAAATATTTATTTCCTTAATTTAATGTAATTAGTTACCTATGACAGAAATTCATTGGTACCATCTATCAACAGCAGAAAATGAGCTTGGTGTGGTTCTAGCAACAGCTGAAGGATCACCTCAAGGAGTAAGCATGATACCTATAAGTTGGTCAGAAATGCAGTGTCCCAAGACTTTAGTGAAGGAACCTCGAAAGGTGGCCAGGGTCATACCAGAGAACATAAATCAAGCATTATTTCCAGTAGATAAAACACAAAATAAAACAGAAGAAACACAGAAATCATAACAGTACTTAAATATAGTATTATATATAAAGCTGTCATTGTTTCAATTGATATTTTTTATATTTACACCCTATCAAATCTAAAGAAATATATGATGGAATGAAACATATATATATATATATATATATATATATATATATATATATATATGAGACCGTGCATTGTAGGTATCACGTCGGTAAGGTCGTAAAATTTCAAATGCATTGCTCAAAACTAAAAATTATTAATTATATGACTGTGATGAATCTCTAGTGGGATAATGATCTGCCATCTGATTTAGACGATTCATCTGAATCAACTATTTTCGTTTTGACCAACCTATCCCTTGCACCCTTGTATAAAGTCCGTGTTTAGCAACTTTCTTCTTAAAACATCTTTAAAAGCCTAATTGTGATTGCAAATCCACCTGCGCATGGCGATTATGAGGAAAGGGAAGGCTTATGAACATAAGTATGCATAAGCAATGGACAATTAAAGGCTGAAATGATGATAGAAAACTAAAGAAACTATTTGAAATTATGAACGCCTCTTGATATAATAGCTACCAATTGCATAGAATAGTAAAAAAAATTCAGTAGATATACTATAAACATGTATATGCATTTTGAAATACCTATTGCTATTTTAAAATGCATGGTGTCATAAGTATGTTTCGATTATTTTATAATAAGTACTAAGCAGTATAGTCACTGACCTAAGTATTTTTCAGAAGAAACAAAAACTGACATCTTAATCCTGATGGAAAGAAAAAAACGAAATGTCAACTTAAGAAGATGTCAACTACGGCACCGTCAAAGAAAGGCGGGAAACTCGAATAAGAACAAGCGGGTTTTTTAAATTTTTTTTATTAATTTATTAAAACTATCTCTATCAATTCTTATTATTGAATAAAATATTATAGTTTCACTAAATTCAGCGACAGTAATATAATTAGCATTCATGGGGAAGCGCAGTTGTAGAAAAAGGAAAAAAAAAGATGACGATTCAGGTGATGTAGACCATGAACCTTGTAATGACAAGGATATATATTCGGAAGATACTTCTACTGACTCAGAATCTGAAATTGATAAGGCCGATAAGTATAAACCTTACTACGTCACAGATTATATTAGAAGATATCCCGAGGAATCCCCTGGGACAGAATTTGTTGTCTTTGTAGAATCCTCAGATAGTCAGAAAACCATTGGATCCAGAGACTTGCTCTCACTCTCCTCCTGTTTAAAACGATTTAATAAAGGGGTAACTTATCTTAGATCTATAAATAAATTCAAAATCGGAGTATACTTTCAAAAGCCAGACTTAGCCAATGCTTTTTTAAATAATAAAACTTTTTTAAATGACTACCATTTTAAGGCCAGTATTCCTGCTTCTTCAACAGAAGTTACAGGCGTTATTAGAAATGTACCTACAAATATATCTAATAAAAAAATATATACTATGATATCGAGTTCTAAGAAAATTATTGCTATTAAAAGAATTTTAAGAAAAAATACCTTGACTCATGGATATGTGTTACAGTCAACTCTAACCGTGACAATTACTTTTGCTGCATCTGTATTACCTGAATATCTGGATATTGGAGGTTGGCGCCACAATGTCACTCCATATATACCACCAGTTAAACAATGCTACCGGTGCTTGAGGTATGGACATTTAGCTAAATTCTGTAAGAATTCTGAGCGTTGCAGCATCTGCAAAGGTGAGCATAATTATAAAACTTGTACAACTGGAATGGAAAACGCTATTTGTGTATACTGCAATGGAAATCACACAAGTGTATCACCGCAATGCCCTGTTAAACAAAAGAAAATTGCTGAAAATAGATCTAAATTCAGACCTGCTTCTTTTGGAGATATACTTAGCACTGAAATATTTCCTAAACTGGGTAACAAACCTAAAAAAAATGTAGACCTAATTTCAATTCTAAATTCTGATAACAAGAGTTTATCACTTTTAATAGAAAGCATAATCAAACTTATTTCACTACATAACACAAAGAACACATCTATTAACACTAAAAGTGTTTTGAATGTGTTATATGATACTTTTGGTAATAGACCTATTTCACAAAATTCAATCGAGACCAATTAACTATCATACAGTGGAACGCTCAGAGCCTACTGAGCAATCGACATATTTTTACACAATTTTTAAATGAACATCATATTCACATTGCTCTCATCTCAGAAACTTGGCTAAAACCACATTACAAATTAAAAATTAAAGATTATTGTATAGAACGAAATGATTGTGGTAATAACCACAATGGAGTAGCGATTATTATACATAATAGTATTAGATATAAAAAACTTCACTCTTTTTTCGACAATTCTTTGCAAACTATAGCTATTAGTATTGAAGTTAATAATTCTTGGTATTCAGTTACCAGTATTTACTGTCCTACCAATAGTACACCTAGTTTTACTAAAGCCAAATTTAAGTTCTTTTTGGAGTCTCTTCCTAAACCCACTATCATATCTGGAGATTTAAATGCACATCATACTATGTGGGGTTGTACCTCCACTAATACAAGAGGTAAAGACATTCTTGATTGTTTAGATGAATGTAATTTGGTACTATTAAATGATAAGCAAGTTACTACTGTTGGCTCTCATATTTGGAGACCCAATGGCCTTGATTTAACTATGGTATCCCCATCCATATCATTAAAATGCGAGTGGTCGGTTCATGATGATCCGTTAGGAAGTTATCACCTGCCGACTTTTACTAAAATAAACACAAAGAACTCTTCATCAACTCCGTCAGGTGAACAACATGCTCCTATAGATGAAGTTAATAAACTTTTGTTAAATCGTATAAACCTACGTCTCGTTAATTGGGATCTTTATTCTGAAACTGTTAATCAATTACTTTTGGATTTCGAGTATGATGCCAATGAACCCTTAAACAATTACAATAGATTCTGTAAAAATATTTTGACAGCTGTGGAACGTTCCGTTCCACGTAGGAACTTATCAAATAGCGGTGCAAATACTTCAAAGAGGCACAAACATATTGCAGTACCTTGGTGGAATAACAGGTGTGCGACAGCTGTCAATGATAGTAAAGCGGCTTACCTTAGGTTTAAACAAAATCCAACTCTCGATAATTACATAAATTTTATAAGAGTTCAAGCTGTTACAAAGTTAGTAATTAAGCAAGTAAGACAACAGGGGTGGCAGGAATTTTGTTCCAAATTTAATAGATTAACACCAATTTCCACTGTTTGGCAAAATATGAGAAAACTAAATTCAAAACATCGTCAAAATCATTTTAAAGATATATCATGGGTCAATGATTTTTTACGCAAATATACTCCTGATTTTGTACACTCACCTTTTGATGACAAACAGTTTAATTCTGTTAATTCATGCCCAAAATTTCTCACTGACCCATTCTCAATTGATGAAATATCCAGTGCAGTAAAATCTAGAAAAGATACAGCTAGTGGCCTTGATCGCTTAACATACAATATGTTTCGATTGCTGAATAAAATAAACCTTACTAAACTCTTACAAATTTTTAACGATTTATGGAAGGACTGTATTATCCCACCAGAATGGAAAATGGATTGTTTGATTCCAGTAATTAAACCCGGTAAAGATCCTACAAATTTCGACTCCTATAGACCTATAACATTGACGTCCTGTGCAGGCAAATTATTCGAACAATTAATTAAACAGCGTTTAGAGTTCTTTATTGAAAGTAATAGTATATTACCATCGAATCAATTTGGTTTTCGCCGTGGATATTCAGCGCGCGAAAGTTTAGCGAACTTCTATGTCGACCTTAGTACTGCTTTGAATAACGATGAATATGTTCTATCTGTTTTTTTAGATGTCGTAGGAGCTTTTAACAATGTAAATTTAACAGTTCTATCTTCGATTTTATCCTCATTTCTTCCAATGAAACTTATCGAATGGATTTATAATTTTCTTAGTAATAGAGAAGTGTATGTTAAAGTAAATAGTAAATTAATAGGACCTAGGTTAAGCTCTAAAGGAGTATGTCAAGGTGGTATTCTAAGCCCGCTACTATATATTTTATATATCTATAAACTTAATTCAATTTTAGGAAACAGTGTGAACAACTTGCAATTTGCCGATGATTTATTAATTTATATAAAAGGAAAGAATATTATTGATATGCAATTAGTGTTAAATGAGTCATTAAAAAGACTTGAGAAATATTTTTCTCTTCTTTCCCTCGATATTAGTTTAACCAAAAGTAAAGTAGTTGTTTTTCATCAAGTTCATAAATATGTTCCATTAATGAATATTATATATAATAATCAAACTCTTCCAACAGACTGTAGCGTTAAATTTCTGGGGGTAATTTTTCATCAAAATTTAAAATGGGATCTATACGTTGATTGCTTAGTAGATCGTGCTTTAAGAGCCACTAATATAATAAGATCTGTAATTGGTCGTAACTGGGGAGCTGATCCTAAAATTATCCTTTTACTTTACAAATCTCTTGTTAGAAGTAATTTTGATTACGCTTTCTTTTGTTATGCCTCAGAACATAAATTAGTAGAAAAACTCGAAAAAATTCAAAATATGAATTTAAGACTTATTTTAGGTGCTATGTATACTTCTCCAATTATCTCAATGCAAGTAGAATGTAATTTGCCTCCTATCCTTCTTCGTTTCGAATACCTAAAACTCAAATTTCTCTTCAAAGTTTTTTCAGTTTCCAATAACCCACTCATACTCAAATTATTAAATTGCCCCATTTCTATGTTTTTGAATAAAACTATTGTCAATGATTTGAATTTACGAGATGAATATAACATCTATAGTAGTAAGATACTTCCTTGTTATAATGGCCTTTATGAGAGTAAGTTCTGTAAGATCAAAATTGTTATACGTAAAGACATAAAAGAAAAGCACGATATGTATGAGACTTTATCAGAATTTATTGACTACAGGCAGATATATACAGATGGTTCCAAAAATGCACTTAGCACTTCAGTGGCTTTTTACGATTTGTCAAATAGATTTGGTCACGGTTATAAAATTTCAACTTTGGCTAGTATTTACACAGCAGAAGCAAAAGCTATATTTTAAGCATTAGAATACATAGAAAAACAGGTACTATATTCGAAATGGATTATAATTACAGATAGTATGAGTGTTCTTATGGCATTAAAAAATAACACATTCATTTCATCATCAAACTACTTAATTCAAGAAATTCGTAATAAATATTATCATCTCTGTACTATATATGGAAAAGATATTATCTTCATCTGGACCCCTTCACATATTGGAGTGTTTGGGAATGAACAAGTAGACACTTTGGCTAAAATTATTAATTCAAGTGCTGCTCGTGTTCAAGATTTACCCCTTTGTTACTCAGATTGTAGTATTGGAATACATAAAATCGTTACAACTAAATGGGAGGAGCATTGGACTCAAATATTACAGACTAAAGGCAAATGGTACCGCAAAATTAATTGGCGTATTGGAAAACCGTGGTTCTGCAAAGGAAAGGACACAAACAGAAAATTTTACACCAATATTTGTAGATTACGAATCGGCCACGGACATTTCAACGAACACCTGCACCGAATGGGCATGATCGCTTCCCCATCATGCACATGGTGTAACTCAAATACAGCCCAATCTCTACATCACCTTTTTTTTTTGATTGCTCTGAATTTGTCATTCAAAGACACATTATGTTTGACGAACTTAGGATTATCTTCAAAAAACCCGAAAATATCCCGCACTCAATCCCGCTTCTCTTAAGATTTCCTTCTTGTTTCAAAGCTATTTTCACTTATATTACTACAACATTCAAGGAGCTATAAGAATACTTTTATTGAATTGCAAGACAATGATTTTTTATAATTATTTATTTTTAATTTGATAAATCCACTGGTTTAAGAAAACTCAAGAAAAGATATTTATGAAAATGTACTTACCGGATTTGACAAATGAAATATTGAAGATTATGACAATAATTGAAGCGACATTAGAAAAATAAAATTCCAGACAAATTATCTTTTTGAAGACTAGGCAGCATGGTCTCCGACCTTAGCCTGTTCCAAACGGAACAAACGTACTAAAAAAAAAAAAAAAAGGCACCGTCAAATCACATGCTCTGTCAAATTGTCAATTTAAATTCATTCAAAACAAACGTCACTGGTTGAATTAATAGATATGAAATGAACATTTTACTTTACTTTTGCTAGTAAAAAAAATATGAAAAGACAACTTTGTAATCCAAAAAGACATCGCAAAATACTTAATCGTAACCTTGTTCATATAAAATAATCATTCCATTAATTTATGAAGATAATGACACTGTATTAAAGAAATATATGAGGTCATAATTATACGGTTATCACTAAATAAACTAAAATACAGACATTGTTACAGTGTGTAACTGTGCTTCTTTTAATAAAGTCGTATTTTACATCTATTGGAGATGAAGTTCGCTGAACATTTAAGTGCTCATATTACGCCTGAATGGCGAAAACAATACATCAATTATGAGGTACTTGTTATTATATTTAAACCTTAATTCTTGTGTAATAAATACTAAGAACTATGTCCTTGATACCATATATTAATAATAATAGGTATATTGGTGGTACTAGTAAATTACGGTAAATCTGTAAGCCTTGAGATGTTTTTTACAATACACTATATTATAAATGATTGTATGATATTAAAAAAAAAATGTTTTACATTATAATATTATTATGGAAGACATAGTCATTACAGAAACTATGAACAATGATTATTTACTACTAATTATTTAAAAATACTCACAATGTTGAATTAAAAGTAATAGTTTATTTGTTTATATAAAATATGATTGATTAAAAGAAATTTAATGAATTTATTATAACATATATAAGTTTAAAAAATATTTTTAATGTTCTAGTAAATTTAATATTTAATTTGTCTATGTATCATTACATCAAGTCTCTTGTGCAATAAGGAGTGAGAATCATATGCCAGTTTTTAGTCTCCATACATTCTCTAACTGCATCTATTTTTATTATTGCTCTATACATGATATACACTGGTTTTGAAAACACATGACTCCTGTATCAAATAGCATTATTAAAATTATATACATCTGTATATGAATTTTATTCATCACATAAATTAATGTGTATGAAATTCATAAATATTTTTAACAGGAGTATCAGGTTAATGCTGAAATGGACCAGTTTCAACACATTGAGAAAATCAATAAATAAAACCCGTTAAGTTTGTATTAAAACCAGTTTGTCACAATTTTGAGAAAAGGGTTTCCTCAGAAATAATACAAATTAAAAAAATATATATTACTCGAAATGGCAAACAAGATGACAACATACCTGATAAAAAAATGTAATATTTATGTATTAATGTAAAATTTTCTAGATATGAGTAATATCATGGTTATCATAAAATACGTTGAGAATATACAAAGGATTACAATAATGAAACTATAATATATAGTATAGTTATATGCTTTTAATAATATAATGCATCACCAGTTTATAATTAATTATTAATGATTATTATCTTTATTATTAATGATTCATTTTTATGATTCAATGATTGATATTCAATAGAATGAAATAAACTTGAAGGAAATGCTATGCTTATGCTTGTATATAATCTGTTATTTCCTATTCCTATAAGAAATAAAGCTTAGTAACTATGCTCACAACTTGTAATCATGAATGAAACAAAATGTAATCTATGTCCTTTATCATGTCAAATACAATGTATTTTAGATGTTATGGTGACAAGAGATTTTATTCCCTTTAGGTTTTATATTCATGGCAAAAACTATGGCCTTCTTCAAGTTTTACTTTATCTGTATACTAAAATTCATCAAAATTGGTTCATTTCTATAAATGTAAAAAGGTAAAAATTACAGATTTACTTACATGTTTAAAATATTAGTATGAATTAGTGAAGATATTACTGTAGTGATGCTTTACTATCCGTTTTTATAAACAACAACAGGTATCTGACAATACTGATTATGTTTATAGTACCACTCTATGAAAGAAGGAAAGAAATAATTTTTATTCAATTAAACTTTTAATTTTAATTGAATAACAATTACTTTATGCTATTTTTAACAGTAATTATTCCTCCCAATTGGAATGTAATTTCAGTTAAGAAGAACAGGCTAAAGTTAAATTATATAAATTATGAATTTGTGTAAATACAAACCACCAAGCAACATCAGATTATAAAATAAGAAATTAGCATATAATTAAAAGAAATTAGTCCAGGACCAGTTCCTACAGCACCTGTTCATGAGTATAGCTGATGAACCAACCATTATTGTTCTTGATCACATTTTTGGGAAACATGAACCAACTGTTTCTCTAAGTAACTATATTATTCACAGGAAATGAAATCAATGCTGTATACTGCAGTAGAGGAAGCGCCATCAGCGGAAAACGTGGAGCCAGAGGTGCTCTCCCGACATTTTGCTAATTTTGACGAAACATTTTTCCACTATAGCGATCAGGAGTTGAAGAAAATTAACACATTTTATTCAGGTAAATATCTTATGATCATGAGTAAGAAAAAATCAAAATAAAAGAATTTATTTATATCTTAAATAAACTATGTGTCTATGGTAATTTGTCTAAGTTTATGCCTTGCCTTGCCTTATGCCTATAATGCCGCGAATCCGTCCGCGTGACGGTGATATATTGATTTACCGGGATAAAAATCAGCCTTAGTTCAACTTCATCTCAAACACTAATTAAAAATCAAATGTCCTAATGACTGATTAAATAGCCAAGTAATCTTGATTTCATATGGATAAATATTAGTAGGATTAGCTGAGCTTGTTGCTTGCTATGTGACGTTTCCGTTACATAAATCTTTGTAGACTCTAACAAGTGATCAAATAAAAGTACTTATAATATATACTATAATATACTATAAGGTGAATGCTAATTATTTAAATAATTTATATAAAATTTGTTTACTACAATATGACGTGTGGAATTTTCATACTACTTACTTACCTAGAAACTTTGAAACTGTAACGGACACGTAGGCTTATATGGCTAACAATTTGTCTTAGCCGAAATATTTACTATAATTTACATAGCAGTAGTTTTTGTTTTATTTAGTTAACGAAGGTGGCTTTTGTTTAAAGTATAAATTTAGACCACCCCCATCCACCGAAGACTAACACAAAAATAAACCTGAGCTAGTGGCAAAGTCTCGATTTTGTATTTCTACTATATATGGGGAAAACATTACGGCTTCACCCTTAACAATATAGAAGTAATTTTTTTGGCAATAATTGTACGGTTTTCATATCTACCAGTTTCTGAAAGTGGCCTGTGTTCAATATAGATAGATACTCATTATTGTGTCCTCCAAAAGATTACAATAATAATCTTATTAGAGATACAAACACAATACAAGAAATAATCATAGAAAACAATGGGCGGCTTTATTGCTAAAAGCGATCTCTTCCAGGCAACCTTTGAATGGAGAGGAGTACCTAATTATAAACAGTGTGATCGGAGACACGATGATAATTCTCTCATTTTTATATATGTATAATATACCTATAGGCCTCTTAAAAATAAAAAAAATAGACATAACCACCTACATCTCTCAAAGGTCTTCACAAGTTACACAACGTTTATATCTATAAGATCGCGATTCAATCTAACTAAATAAATCATCATGAACCTTATCTAAAATCATAAATACATTCCAATAGAAAAATTGGCGGAAGCGACACGCAAATTTGCCACACTGCAAAGTGAATTGAAAGCCCAATTCGAAACTATCAAGCCTAAGGGCGGTGGAGACAGTAAAAAGGCGCCAATACCACGACGGAAGGTGCAAGAGCTGAAACTGGCGTTTAGTGAGTTTTACCTCAGCCTAATCTTACTGCAAAATTACCAGAACTTGAATTATACAGGTTTTCGGAAAATATTAAAGAAGCATGATAAGGTAAGAATGGATGGTAAACCATCAAAAATATAGTAGAAGGTTGAATGTTAGGTGTTATATATTCCCTATATCGTTTTAAATAAGGGTAAATCAAAATAAGCATTCCTTGAATATTAGACACTCCCTAGTGGTTTACAATTCAAGAGATCGAGATTATTAATTAATTGAAGAATGTGCCTCCCTACACAAAGGGCAAGTAAATCTAAGTGTATATTAAGTCGAGTGAGACAACAACGTCAAGCACTTTGTTCTTTCTCATATGTGAGTTAACGAAAACGTAATCAATAGATTCATTTGCCATTTATCTAGAGAAGGGGTGGCCTACCGATCGCGACTGTTAGTCCAGTGGATCGTGGCAAGGCAAAAAATATAAAAATTTGCTAATCTAGCGGAAGATGCTCAGACGTATTGCTCACACTAATATAAATAAATAGTTAGTAAGAATAATTTTTAGTTTTATATTTTCCCTATTTATGAAATAAAAAATACTACAATACTATATAATTGTTTATTGAACTATGTTGTTTCATTTGAGATTTCAAAAAGTATTGGTAGATCGCACAGGGTTTCGTCAGTAAACAGTAGATCTTGAGTCTAGTCAAGTCGGCCACCTCTAGTCTAGGGGAACTGGTCAATGTCAAATGTATGCACCTAAATATATCGAGTTTTTCGAGATTTCAAGAGATTTTCTGCCTACCCTTTAGATCAAATTTCAATCAATGCATTGTGGTATTGCTTCACCTAAGAAATAGATTTAACTATATATAATTTAATTAGATATAATTACAACGTTTGAAGCTAGTAGGTAGTAGGTGAAGAAGATGTGCCATCTTAATTTTCTATTGCAGTTATTAAATCTAAGCAACGGTGCGCAATGGCGAGCGGAACACGTGGAATCATCGCACTTCTACACAAACAAAGATATAGACAGATTAATAAGCGACACAGAAGCGACAGTGACAAACGAATTAGAAGGTGGTGATAGACAGAAAGCGATGAAAAAACTGCGCGTACCACCTCTAGGCGAACAACAGAGCCCTTGGACTACCTTCAAAGTTGGACTGTTTTCTGGATCTTTTATAGTGCTGTTCATTACTGTTGTTTTATCAGGTAAGGGGTTTTGCTTATTTTACTACAGATTATTATGATATGCAAGCCTGGTCCTTGTGATATTTAAGGCAGGCACCAGACAAAGAAAGAATCTAGAGTCAATGAACTCTCTTTTTATCTTTGACATTATTTCCCTTCTTAATTTTTCTCATGCGTTCACATCGATTTCAAAGACTGTTCACATCTCAACACGCGAAGTATGTGATATGTTTTAAATTTTATGTTTGCCTACGTTTGGACTCATCTCTAACTGTATGAGAGATGCACCCTGAGTGAACTATTAAATCATATATGATTTCTTATTACGCTAGATTGATCTCCCTCGTTACATGCATTATCACCATATCAACTGTTCATTGTCCATTGCTGAATTTAGTCCCCCCCCCCCTCACATATGGGGAGTTTTGCTAGCAGTTGCTACGCTTGGCAGACAGGTTGGCAACCGCAGTTTGGCTTTTGATGATGTTTTAAAGAGAATGCTGCTTGGCTATTCGTCGGCCATTAAAATACACGCATACTTCAATTTTTTTTATCCATTTCTATATCTTACATTCATTACATTTTATAGTCATGATAATGTTCAGAATCCGATCTTAGGGGTGGCAAATCAAGCAAAGCCCAAGTAAAAATGCGGAACGGCAAAACGGCAAAATTCCATTGAAAGGAACGGTAAATATTACATTTGCCGTTCTTCATAATACCTACTCTCTCAAACTAAACTGTGCTATTGTTCTGCTATACGAGTATACTACATGGTTTGTTGCTACTATAATTTCACTTAATTCTTCTAGAATTTGCATTTCATCGGCAGTTATTCTTCTTTCAGTCTCTTTTTATATATCCAACTTTGGACCAACACACCTGCTTAAAAATATATTGACCATATATCTTCTAACTTTATAGCTTAGATTATTATCTGTTAAGCAAGATTTTAATAGCAAGCACCATTCATTTTACAATATTAGTGAGGTTAAAAACATTTATACCGGTTAACCCTTTTTAAACAATTATATTTTATCTATTATCTACAATGGTCGTTATCTTTGAATACTGGTATGATGAAAAATGTAAATAGCGATTAATCTCAAAGTTTGCGCGCGAAAAAAAACTCTGCTGTTAATCCTATCCGCGAATGGCCATATAATCATCTATTGTATGGTGACCATGGTGGCTATAGCAAATATTGCGCACTGTATGAACAAAGATAAGTGTTGCTACAGAAAGAAAAATGGTCTATGTAATTTGTAATCAACTTATGTGATAATTAGTTAGTTTAATTAGGTTAATAGTAAACGTTAAACATAAATCCTGTAACCGTCTGCTTAACATGATGCCAAATATGGCAAAATCGCTATATTTAATTGATCAATGAAGAAGTTTACGGAAAGGTCATTATTTTATTAATCGAATGCTATGTAATATCAGATAATATCATTTTAGCCCAAATTTAGCCCAAATTAATTTCGTTACCTCAAATCGATATTTACCAGTGTATATCGATTCGAGGTAATTTAAGTCGAAAAAGTTTCAAAGGGCAGGATTACATAATTATGGCATTATTTAAAGTATTTAGTAACCCTTCCCGGGTTGCTGTCTATACGTATAAATAACTTTTATAACATAAGGCCAAATAGTACAGCTGTGACCCACATAATTTTTATATATAAATTGAGGTATTTGAGTCGGGTATCTTTATTTATATCTGTGGGGAAATCAGAGATTGAGATAGTGGGGTTTGAAATAGACATTTGTAATAGGATTCGCTAGTGTCTTTGAATCCTAAGATGATTGATAGTTATAATTTTCATATTTCTTTATCTGAAAATCAGTTATATGGGATTGTTGATGTTGTATTTGACACGTGGAATTCTAGAATTTTTTTTAATTTGAATTATTACAAAAACTTTCCAAAAATACAGATTATAGATATTTTTTCAAAGTTTATGGTTTATCAACCGACTTCAAAAAGGAGGCGCTTCTCAATTGGGTTGTTTTATTTTTTATTACTTTATAACTCCGTCAATTTTAAACCGATTTGGAAAATTCTTTATTAATCTGAAAGAATAGACTACCGATTGATCCCATAGAAATTTTATCAAAATCGATTCAGTAGTGTAGTTTTTAGATTAAAATTTTATTTTTTACATCATATATTTACAACGTGTTGACAAATCACGCGTGAATTAAAATAAAGTGTTCATCCAGCGTTATGATATATCTGTGTCATTAAAATCAGCAACAAACTTGTATAGAAACAAGCCTACAAAATTACCATTATGACAATACATCATATTTTGTAATCGATCATATTTTGTTGCGTATATACTTATAACTTATTTACGTATATATTGCTGTGTTTGCCCCGGCATAGAATGGGACAGTCCTTCCTTTCCCATGGATATTGTAAGAAGCGACTAAGGGAGGGCGAGAAATGGGCAGCAGCGTCCCTCTTAAAACATCTCTGAAAGCCTAACTGCGGTTACCAACCCCCCTGCCAAGCGTTGCAACTACTGGCAAAACTCCCCTTATGAGAAAAGCTTATGTCCAGCAGTAGACAGTTAACGGTTCAAATAATAATAATAATAAACTATTTATAACACAGTTTTCTTTATTTACAGCATTATTCCACGAAGGCGCTACAGAAAACTTCAAAACGGCCTTCAGATTATATCGGGGTCCGTTCCTCTTAGTCGAATTTATATTCCTAATAGGCATTAATGTGTACGGCTGGCGATCATCTGGAGTCAACCACGTGTTGATTTTCGAACTGGACCCCAGGAATCATTTATCCGAGCAACACTTAATGGAACTAGCCGCTATATTTGGGGTAGTATGGGCCTTAAGTATACTCAGTTTTATATACAGTGCAAGTCTGAGTATACCGCCGTTTGTTAATCCGCTGGCGCTCGTCATAATAATGCTAGCGTTTCTGCTCAACCCATTGAAAGTGTTTCGGCATGAAGCACGATTTTGGTTCCTAAGGATATGTGTAAGTACTTCTACAAAAATATTATTAGTAAATAAATAAATACTGTACTACTGTACACAACTGCGCCATATAGTCCGGAACTAAGCAGAGCTTGTACTATAGTATTAGACAAGTGATATAAATATTTAATTTTCATACTCATGAAATCAAATGCTTGTATTGTTTTATTGTGCAGGGATTGAACCCCTGATAATCAGAAGGTAAAGCGGTGTATTAAGACGGTAGATTACCGAGGTATTTTTAAGGGACGAAAATGGAATGATCACTGCCGCCTACGCTAACGGTATATGCTGGCGCAGGGATCGGCAACCTTTTGAGTCAAAAATTACAAATTACAAAATTTCAAAGTTTTCAAACAGGCCACAAAAAAATTCTTGCCAACAATAAATAGTTCTTGCATAAAGTTTGGTGCCTAATCCTCGTTAAGCGATTTAGAACGATTTTTATTTTCTATTTTTTTATAAAATAAATAATATTTGCGTATGAAACTAAGCCGCAGCTTCACATCCAAAGAGCCGCAAGTGGCTCGCGAGCAGCAGTTTGCCGATCCCTGTGCTGGCGGGTCACCAGTGAGAAATGAAAGGTGAGAGTGAAGTCAGGTCAGTTGTCCCATGGTAAAGAATTCAATAATCACGGTGGTTTCCAGGGGGGAAGTAGGTGGAGGTTGCCCTAATTACTAACGATCCCTTTCTCCCCAACCACCGAGAATACTAAAGTTGTCTATAATTATAAATGTCAGGATTGCATATAAGTATTTAAACACTTTATTTTTGTTCATCTCATACATACATACATATCTGTCACGCCTGTCTCCCATTAGAGTAGGCAGAAACAAAGATACGCCAAATGCTTCGATTCAAACAAACCTTTGTCCTGTCCATCTCTTAGTCGACTACATCGCTTTAGTGGTTTGATTAATTGTTATGCCTAAATAATTTTCACCCTCCAGGGTCGAATTCTGGCCGCACCATTCATGCCTGTGCTGTTCGCGGACTTCTGGCTCGCGGATCAGTGGAACTCGTTTGCAGCTGCCTTCCTCGATTTCCATTACCTGGTTGCTTTTTACATCGCAGGCGGGGACTGGTTCCAAGTAAATAGTGAGTTCAATATTGATTAGTGAGTTTCTTTGAATTTTCAACTTTTAAAACCTAAAAAGCACAGATCAAACATGCCGGCGCTCTAAACCAGATAGTTTTAGAATAAAACAATTATACAAGGACAATTTAAAAAAAATAGTTTACGAATTCTATTTAGAGATAAAAAATAAGTATAGATTGTCTACGATAACATGGCACGCCCCTCCAAAATATAAAGAATTAAAAATGTGTGTGTAAAAATGTTTACAATGTTTCCACCAAGGAATATAATACTTCTCTGGCCGGACCGCTATTGAAGATGTTTCCTTACAAACAGAACACCATATCTGTATATGGCCACACATTCAATGTGTTTGGCGTAAAAAGTTAAAGGGGCGTGGATTAATATGTAACGTAGACGATCTATACTTCTATCTTTTGCTGTGTAACAAGTATTTGAATAATAATTTACGGGGTAGAATGAGGATTCCGTAACTTAAAATTAGGTTTATAAGCCTAATCGACTACAGCTGAATATTTATTCAAAAAAAAAAAATAGAAAATTGATAAAAATCGTAATGTAGACTTATGCATACTACCTTATATATTATTAAAATGTCAATGTTTGCTTATCTCTTGACGCTTTAAGCGCGACATTTGTTATACACATAATATTTGGGATGAAGAAGGGCATAGACTATGTTTTATACTGATTAATCAATGTACATCACGCGGACGAAGTTGAGGGTGATAACTAGTAAATCATATTTTATACTTTCCACAGACGCATTCGAGAAGACCCGCTGGTATATAATAACCCGTGGTTTAGTGAACATAGTGCCCGCGTGGGCTCGCTTTTGGCAATGCTTGCGCCGTTACCGAGACAGCCACGAGGCCTTCCCACATCTGGTCAACGCTGGGAAGTACTCCACGACATTTTTCGTAGTTCTGTTCCAAACTTTAAGGACAATTTACAGTGGTAAGTGTAATTTTTTTTTACCCAGCTACCAGAGGATATTTTGCATTCTTGTAATCTGTTTATATTTTACATAGCAAATAAACAAATTTTGATGAAAAAAAAAATTTTATAGAGAAGGAACCGAAAAGAAAAAATTTAATAAGGGATCTATTTTTGTATACCAAACCCCTAAAGGAGCAACATATAAGTGGCCCAGATTAAAAATCGCAGTTTGACAAATGTGAAATTGGTATACAATTTATTTATATCTCTCTGTTTCATATGACAATTATAAATTGGTCGTGTTGTCAAAATTGAATTATTAAAATCGCTGTATCTACATATTTTTAACCTAATTTTAATTTGCAAATATATATACTTAGTTTTTTTAAATATTCCTAACTAAGATATCAGGAAATTTTAAAATAATTAAACGGAAAAATAAACACAAGTTCTCTATTTGGTAAATCCGACATAGGGTTGCTGGAATCTATAACTTTATTAGAAAAAAATTTGTGTGGACTGGTTAAGTTTAATTAGCTTGCTATTCTATTGTTCGACAGACGCATATGCTGATCCATACGACAATCCGTTCTTGTATGCCTGGTTCGCGTGCCAGCTAGTCTCCTCGCTCTACACTTATACATGGGACGTCAAGATGGACTGGGGCTTGTTTACCGTCGGACCGGCCGCTGAGAACAAGTTCCTCAGAGAAGAAATTGTTTACAGTCCAGGGGTGAGTCTTTATTATGGTTAAAATAGCAAACAATTTGTGGACTACCTGATGGAAAGTGATAACCGTCGCCTATAAACAGCACCTTAATTTGAACAGGATATCACATCACATTTAGGAGGATTATGATTGCGTTGTATTCCACTGCCATATCCTATAAATTCAAACCTACGTGCAAACACACCTGATTCACGTTAGAAATATTAATGAAACAGGTCACCCCCACATACGACTTTTGTACAAAGTCTCGCTCGAGTTGGATTAATTTTCCTTTACACTTCCGTTAGTTTTTGGTCTTCAAAAAAGTGCAAGATATTAATATATAATTACTCCCTTTTTCATAAAAACGTCAAAGCTCTCATAAACCTATTTTTTCTATTGAACTGTTTCTTTTATGCTAAATTTTCAGTTTGAATAAAAGTGACAAAACACAATTAAATTATAATTATTAATTAATTGGTATTTCATTTCTTTGATTTTAGTTTTTATAAATAAGGTTATTAGTTTATACTATAGGCTTAATATAACGTACTATGTATTAACAGACTGGCAATGCAATCACAAAAATGAGACAAAAATGTGATTACACTTGTGTGCCTGAAATGTAAATGTGGGCGTAGAGCAGTGCTGCACCATGCACATTGTATCGTTACGTTACGTAAATCGTATCGATTCTGTATACGATTGTAAATCGAATCTCAAAACTTTCAATTTTATTTAACAATTAGTAATTTTAAAAGTTAATAATAATTTATTTATTAATTTATCTTCAGTACACATTTAATAAATTGTACGTAGTATATACATCTAATGTAATAATTGTGTTGTAAAATAATTACATTTTAGAAACCAAATATCATTGTGGACCTCATACATGATATTATTGTATTATATATGTAAAATTATTTATTTTTAATCAACTTCAAAAATAGGAGAAAATCTCAATTCAGTTGTACTTTTTTTAAATTTTTGTTACCTTAAAACTATTATTTATAAATCAATTTAGAAATATTATTATTTATTGTAATATATTCGTGTAGTCCTATAGAAATTTCATTGTAGTGGTTTCAGTAATTTGGTTTTTAAATCAAAATAACTGGTTTTGCCACAATCAATGTATAAAATACATTACCAATCTTAAAGACTAAGACTAACTCGTTTGCTTGAGTACTTATGCGCCATTCGTATTTCTGACGTGAAGTAGTCGTATTTGCATGGCTATATTTCGGTTTGAAAATGTAACGGTCATTTAAAAATTATTTTTTTAATTTATATAATAATTTTATATATAACTAGTAACGACTTGTCGCCTTTGTCAATTTGTGAATTGATATAATCTATTAGAAGATTGACACTTCTTGGAAATCTCTAATGAATTAAAGTTAAAATTTGTACATATTTAGTTAGAATTAGTATAACGTACTATTTTATAATCTAAGGTCTCTACTAATTTATTTTATTAATGTTTTATTAAATACTCAGATTAGGTAAGTATATTTATAGGCACTCCTTCATTATCATTACATTAGTAGATTTATAGTTTTCTGTCATTGACTTTTTCTTTATGGCAATAAATTGTTTATTAATCTATATCTTTACCTCAAACTTATTATAGAGTATACATTATTATTAATTTTATATTTTCAGTTCTACTATTTCGCGATAGTTGAAGACTTTGTACTACGATTCATTTGGACGGTGTCCTTCATACTTACCGAGAATAAGTTCGTCAGTGGAGAGACTATGACCTCATTACTAGCGCCACTAGAAGTTTTTAGGTATCTATTCATATTTTTATTGAAATTTTCTTCACATTTATTTGTATGTATTCGCGATTCAAATCAGCCACACAACCAGGATATATGGATTGATCAGAATAATAAAGTATCTGATGTATATGTATGCTAATTTCATAACTGACCGTTAGGACGCCAAAAAGTAACATGCTACTGTAGTGTTTTTCCTTTTCTTCAAAAATCCTTCATTTCGTTTTTACCAGCGTCCTTTATTCATTCCTAACATCCTCTTTATTTTTTCTTAATCTTTTCTTAACCGTTGGTGGAGAATATCACGAATGAATGCAATCCCAAAGAGGGTTAACGTCATACAGGCGGCTGGTTGTAAAACCAAAAGCTAATACCTTGTGTAATATGAATAAAAACACATCACGGCGACCTCAAATAACTGGAATAAGGGCAGGAAGATGATGATATCATCTATTAGTAACATATTTCTATTTTACTAGCTTTTATCTGCGAATTTGTCCGCGTGACTGGAGTAAAAAGTAGTCTATCCTTCCCTATCCCATATAGTATTTGTATACCAAATTTCATAGTGACTGGTTAAGCTGTTTTATTTTTTGATGGGTGAAAATGGTTATAGTAACCCCGCCTGCGCTGACGAGATACGCTGGTGGAGCACCAGTGAAGGGTGATAGATGAGAATGAAAACAGGCCAGTTAGCCCATCATGATGAATTCATCAGGAATTAACCATGATAGTTGCCAGGGGGAACCGCGAGGAGGTCGACCTGGTTGAGTATATTGCTAGCAATGGGATTCTCAAACTCAATTACTAACAATTCCTTCCCACTTGATTAAGCTGTGTGTGTAAGACCCTATAAGATAACAAACTCACTTTCACTTTAATAATACTAGTATAGATAAATTATTATATCCCAGTTAATGACATAAAATGCTTTTTTAGTTATAATCAAGTTGATTATTCCAGACGGTTCATCTGGAACTTCTTTCGGCTAGAGAATGAGCATCTAAATAACTGCGGCAAGTTCCGTGCCGTTCGGGATATATCCGTGGCGCCGCTCGACTCCTCCGACCAGGCCGACATCATACGCATGATGGACCACCCTGACGGCGTTGTTAATAGGTAATATTAATTTTTACGATCTACATGACGCAATAATGGGTGCATTGTGCAATGCTTTGTTCATAGGCAAGTGCTCTATTTTCAAATTAAAGCTAATTCAGTAGATGGGTGGTAATAGTAAATTAATAGGCTCATATGGGGAGAGACCAATGCCCAGCAATGGGATGTGTTCTTATATGACAATTAATACAAACTTCTCGAATACGATTAATGTTTAAATCCAGTAGCTTATATGTTACAGTGGCAATACGAATTTTTTTTTTGCATATATGTTGCAGTCAAAACTTACCCAGTCAAAAGTATTATTGACTAGCAAAATCAGTTAACAAAAATTAAAATAAGAAAAATAATTTTCACTTTTTTATTATATTAATTCCAAGAGTTTTGACTGCATATATATATATATATATATATATATATATATATATATATATATATATATATATATATATATATATATATATATATATATATATATAATATTATTACAAAAAAAAAAATAACGCCAAAAAAGCTAAAGAGAGTGACAGGAAACCGTTATTAAAGAAGGAATCCATGCAAGACCTACAGCTCGAGTTAGACTTGTCATCCAAAATGCTGTAACAAACTGTGATATGTTTAGAACATAAATCATTTATAGCCAATGTTATTATGAAATATAGTATTATTTTAATTATATTTTTTAAAATCATTGATTGTTTCTTTTACGTAAGTCAATGAATGGGTGAGAGCTTACTTTTTAAACAAATAACATTTCAATAGAGATTAAGGGAATTTTAACCCATCTCACTTTTTTTCGACCAACTTCAATAAATTTATAAAACAATACAAAGAGATACAACAGACATACAAAGATGTTAGAAAATTTGTTGTTAAGGGTCACTATAGACAGACAGAGTGAAGCACAATCATCGATCGCTGGCTATCGATGTTGAATTATCGTCCTGCGACTATGACCTGATTCATGCATCTCTGAACACCACTGTATAGTTTCTTTTTATACCAATTTTAACCATATGGTTATATAGTTAGAGATAAATTTTAACATCAATTACTTAGCCATTAATAAAGAATAAGAAAAAATTATAACATTAGTGCATCAATTTATTACAAATATCTAGTATTTAGCTTGCTTTTTTTATACAAATACAAGAACATTAATTGTAAAAGGTATATAATTAAACTTTCAATAGTGACCACAATAATTAGGTACCCTAAGTATGCGCTGGTTATGATGGCAACTGTATGTCAATCCAAATAATGCAAAGTACTTAAGAATATAATTACAATGAAAACTATAATTTGAATGCGCTTTGTAATTAATTTTAATGAAAAAGCTTACTAAATGAACTTCTTGTAATTAAATAAATATAAAATCTCATGTCATTCTCAAACCAATTTTAGACATTTGTTAAAATCTTATTAGGCGAGAGTAGGTACAATAATCACAATGTTTAGAAATAAATACAGTATTTTCAAATAAATAAAAATAAGCAACTTGACAATGCACAAAGATGTTAAAAATAATAACAATAAAGGACTTATATGTATATATATACGCAAACTTAATTATAACGATATTTACATATTATTTGTAAGGCATTTATTATTTGCAACGACTCTCTGCTGCATCCATTTAGTACCATAATCTCCTTTATGAAAATCTGGGAACAAGGAAAAAACTATTGAAAACTTCTTAATATTCATAAAACGTTAATGTAATGAATCGATTTGAAATGTTATGTCTCTTTCATGTAAAAGAGCTGTGTGAATAAAAGTAGTCAATATATCATTTAACTTGGACAAAATCATACATATTATTTTACTACTGTAAAATAAACAGGATGAAATCGAAGCCACTAGCCATACGTCTATTGATGCTATAAAATATGTTACGCTAATCAAAAATAAAAAAAAAAAAAATTCCATGCTAGCTAAACATTTAGACGTGATGTTAGTACGAGAAGCTCAAAATATTTCACCGTTTATCAACCCATCTTCATGGGAGATTACGTCACCAATAGCGTAATAGTATAATAAAATAGTTAATGCGAGCAAATTGGCAGTCAGAATTTGGGTATCTTTTTTTTTAATATTAAAAAATAGTAGTCTACATATCAATCACGCTAACCTTTAATTCTATGACCTTAAAGCTTCTAATCTAGACTGCATTTCGTCTAGCTCGCTCTCGTCGGGTTCTGCGACTTCTTCCTCTTTGCTGGTGGACGGGGCGGCAACGGCTGTAGGGGGCGCGGGTGCTTCGCCTAGTTTTCCTTGCGTTAATTCCCATAACACCTATAATAAAATGTACATACATATATATATATATATATATATATACAACGAAAATTTTATGAACCCAATATCTGAATTAATATTACTCGTTTCCGACAATTTTTCGACTTGAAACAATTGTCGAAAACGAGAGCATAAATATAGACATCGTTAAAAGTGAACATAACGTTATAAAAATAAAAAAAAAATGTTTTTATGTACATAATGTTACAAATGATGTATTTATGTAACATTAACAATTGGTTAAAAGTTGTCTATTAGACAAAAAGCTTTTACTCATATCAAATATTAGTACACATATAGACAGAGAGATGAAAATTCTAAAAAATATTAGTAAAATTGAGACAAAATATATACCAATACTTTAATAATTCTAGTGTTATATCTATTAATATTATTACGGTATCTATCTTAATATATGGTCAATTTGTACAAAAATTAGTCTTTTTATCCTAAGGTTGTCTTGAAAATATTCTCTTCAGTAATAAGACCATCTTACTGTACTTATACAATTGTACCATTACATTTATTTATTGTCTTGCTTATTCCCTATAATGTATAATGCAAATAAAGTATACTCATTCATTTATAATAGCATACCTTATCAACCTCAGTCTGCGCTGCTTCTTCCATTTCTTCTTCATCTTCAACGCTGGACATAGTCTCATCTAGCATCTCTTCAATGATACCAGCCCTCATCATCTCTTTGCTCAGCTCTTGCATTGTGTGCGCCACTTCTGGTAATCGGACTAATGCTTGCATAGCTTGCATTACCTAAAAAATAAAATATATTCTCCCCAATTACCATCAAAATTTTTCCCACAAGCACTAGGTAGCTAAACTCTAGTCATAAAGAATGAAACTGTTAATATTTATCAATTTCAATAAAATTGTATGTGGTCTTCTTAAACCACATACAATTTTTCAACAAACACTAGAACAATTACAAAACACATAATAAAACTTGAATATTAAGTATCTATAGAATGAATCCAATTAAGAATTTATAATTCTTTTTACAATAGAAATAACTCATAAACTTTAGACGAAGAATTATTTTGCATGAGTACAGGATGTGAATTGTACAGTGTAGAAGGGAAAAGCTACCACTATCCACATCTATCATCCACTACATCTATACTTCTATGAAACTGCATAAAAAGTTAAAAGATTATGGTACATACTATTATTTATATTACTCACCTCTGTGGATTTTTGGAGTGATCCAGCCACTCGTAAAGTAGCTGTAAAGCAATTAATTTAAATAAGAAAATACTACTAGTATTGCTATTTTTTAATGATTACTTAAATAACAAATATGCTTCTTATAAATATTAAAAATTAATAGATTATATATGGTATATGGCAGTGAAATTACAGGATGTGAAGAATATCTACAAGCAATAGAATATTTTCCATCAGATGTGGTATCAGCTTATTTGCCATTTCAAATTGCATAAAAAAATTCTAATCCGGTACATATATACCATGTTGTAACTCAATTGTTGAATTAATTGATACTATTTTTAAGTAATTTATTTTGTTGTGATTGCCAAGAAATTGTTCTTATCAATGTATTTGATCTAGTAATATAAGTATAAAATACATATATTCTGAAAATGGCAGTTCAAATTCCCATCTGAGTTTATGCTGAGTATGTATGCACAAAAATATTTAAATCTCACCTAATTTGAATACAATATTAAATTATTTAATATTAAAACTCAAATCAATGTTTTCAAGTTCACACTATTTATTAAAAAATATGTATAATATATTTGAATACTATTCATCAGAACCTAAAATTTACAATGAACTTTCTACATAACTAGAACAAGTTTATTATAGCTATATATAGTTTCTTACAGTGACTTTTTAACTTAGAATGGCAAACAAGCTGATGGTCCATCTGATGGAAAGTAGTAACAATCGCCTATAGACATTAGCAGTACTATGGATATAATAGAGTATTCTGTTTCACCCATTATACCTCCCATGCATTGCCATTCCTGGGGACTCGGATATTACTCCTCTGTACCCTGTAAATTCACACCATATTCCTCTTCAAACCAAAACACAACCATGCAAACAACTGCTTTACAATAGAAACACGAATGGGACAGAGGTACCCAAGCAATTGACTTTTATATAAAATATCCCTCTAGTACACTGACTTAATGGTGTTACCAATCACTATGAAATTTGATATACACATACTATACAAAGTGGAGCAGGATATAAACTATTTATTCTGGTCACTAAACATATCCCAGTTAAACGGATATGTAAAATAGTAGGTAAAAACTAGTAGATGCATAAAGGTAAACAAAAGTAATCAATTATTATATATTTACTGTTGATATTACTTACCTAGCTGGTTCTTCATTTGCAACTGCACAGAATTTAAATGAGCTTTACTTGTGTATATTTTACTGATCGCCTTCCTTGATCTGATGATTTCCTTAGCTAATATTGTACACACTTGTTTATCATTCTTTGCAGCTGCTTCCTTTAATGACCGTTTTATTTTTTCCTCTTCTCTTTGTATACCTAGTAAGAGAGCAAACTGCAAACATCACATTTTGTCGCATATACACGATATTTATTTTATTAATACAAAAACTAGAACCTGGCGTAAAGATAAATGGATATAAAATGTAAATATACAAACTTACCCCTTATTTGTCTATCCAAATTATATCCTTCTTTACGAAGTTTGTGTGACCATTCATTTACCTAAAATTCATGATATTAATTAATAACATACAAAAATGTTAAGAAAAATAATTAAGAAAAGCATTATACCATTTCTTTTGGATTTCTTTCAGGAGATTTACCAAATAAACCCATTTTGAATATTATTTATATAAAAATTTAGCGAACAAATTTTATTTGTTTTGATTTATTGACCAATAATGGAACCATAGCTAGCCATAATTTTGACAGTTGACCTAGGCGATGATCTCATCTCATTTTTTATTACAGCTCATGAAACGAAACGTCATTAAATAACTGTTTACAAGAAGGGGATGACATAATAATAATTTTATTAATTATTTCAAATAATAATTACATTTTAACTATTTTCTTATTATACTTGTTAAATGAAGTAACGATACATAAAATTTTCTAATTTAGAAAACCTTATAATGGAATGAACTCCATATTTTCCACATGACATTTACGAAAAATATTGCCAGAATATAAAAATAATTTAAACATTATAAATAATATTTATTAAAATTAACAACAAACAAAACAATAAATTTATTCAGCATTAGTAAAAAAATATGTTAACTAAATTGATCAGCACTAAAAGTTATTTAAAAATACTTATAAATTAAACTGACTCTAAAATAAATTTAAATTATTTAGTTGTAAAAAATGTATAAATAATAATGGTAACATTGATTGTTTGGTTGTGTTTTGGTTTAAATACTGTGATGGAGTAAATTTAATGGTTTTTTTAAATATCTTAAATTAAGTAATATATAATTTTACAAAGGGAACTTTCAGCATCATATTTGTTCTTCAGTTATTTATAATTTCACAATCTTTTTTTGGTAAGTACTTCATAATTTTGATATTTATTCTATTGTAGGACAAATTTGCAATTCAGCGTTTAGTAGGACACATTTTAGCATTTTTGTTCGAATTAATAGTCTGCCCCTAAGGGTATTGACCGCAACATTTTGAATGTTAAGTTTTCGTTTACAAACTTCTACAAATAATGCAATTTGCCAGCTTACACTGCAGTTTAATCTACTTGGTTTCATAACTTGAGGGTTATTTCAAAACCTTGCATGCGATGTATGTATTGACTAAGAATAGTAAAATATCGCTAGAATTACTTTATGTTACGCATTAAGCACACGCACAGATTTTACTTATCGCTTCTGCATCATGACTGAAAGTACCAGTATGTAGGTAGTAGGATTTAGCTGAAAGTATTTATAAAATAATCATTTATAAATTATTTTAAATAATACAGTAAAATGCTAAAAGGAAAGCTCTAAGTGAAATTAATATTTCTGCTTGTCACATTTATTCCTTTTTGCTTCCATCTGTTCTGATGAATTATTATGACATAAGAAACAAATTCTGTAGTTATACTTTCTAACAATCTAGTATAATTCTAGTCATGATCAATCTCGAAGTGTAGAAACACAAGTTGATCAAGATCAAACCATGAAAGAACCATGACTGCAGTTAAGGTGTGAATCTAGGCTTACCCCCTTTTCAGAAAATTATCAAGCCTCTCATTAAACCCATTTTAGTTATTGAACTGTTTTAATAGATTTGTAGAAGGTTTTGGTTTATATCAAAAGGGGGCAGGTATTAAAATTCAGTTGCAAAAGCAATATGAGTCTATAACCTACAAAAATTCCAAATTTAACAACTGTCTGCTTGTTTGCCTCTCTAACAATAAAAAAAAAATCTTTAAAAATGTATATATAGATATGTTACCCCTGTTTCCCATTAGAATAGGCAAAAACAACCACCAAATGGTCCCATACAAAGGGTTTCCTTAACCATTTTACATTAATTAATTTGGTAAAATCAATAAACCAAATGGTCCCATACAAAGGATCTTCATTTATTATTTTATATTAATGAAATCATACAGATTGTGAGTAGATACTTTTGATCCTTTTTCAATATATTATCCATTTTATCTAATTTTTACTGAATTCTATGTTATGTTTAAGAAGTCCATATCAATGGTTAGTAAAATAAAAATCAAAATAATTCTAATCAATTAACATGTTTCAATATTTATGTCTGCCTAAGACATTTCCTACCAACATTTCCACTTTTATCTATTATATTATTCTTCCATCATTCATTCTTAACAAACGATGAAACCATAATCATATTAGTATATAATATAACTAAACCATAATAACAAAAATTGTAAATGAGTGTGTTTTCAATTGTTGTTATTACATCATCTTTCAATCCAAGCTTCTCTTTAGTAACACTGTTATAATATAATTAGTAGTCTATTGCAATAAAATATATTGTCAAATAGTAAACAAACAAATCTCATTAATCCAATGATAAAATATCTAATGATGTCCAATGATAATACTAATTAAAAATCCATTAATCAAGTTAATATTCTACTTATTTTAAATATAATATTATTCTTTACATATCATAATAGATCATCAGATGAAATAAAAATAGAATTTTACTAACTTTTACTCATGATTTAGTTTGCTTGACTGGGATAAAAAGTAGCCTAAAAAAAAGGTGTAGAGGTAAAAAAAAAACAAACTCACTTTCAAATTTATAACACTAAGGAAAGGATTAGTAACTATGTAATTTTAATTTACTATTTGGACAAATTTTAATTTACTATTTGATTACTAAAATTTTGATTGAATCAGTCATAAAATAAAAAAAAAAAAATATTGTGCTTTACTACTAATACAATATATACATTTAATCTAAGTTTATCAGAATTGTTTGAAAGAATCAAGAAATATGACAAACTCTCCACTGTATGAAGTCTTAAGTTAAAAATCTTTATTAATTAAGTATGTTTTGGTTTCTTATATTATTCTTTTATCTCACTATACCTATTCCATCCCAAAGTTTGTAATATCCTTCAAAAGGTATCAAAGTCAAAATCAGTTTGTGGTAACTTGTTGATTGATCTGTTTCTGTATAATAAGTAAATAAATACCATTAAATTTATTACACAGATCTATATAAACTAAGCAGGGCTTGCGCTATGGGTACTAAGTGTCTGGTATTTATTTGAATAAACTTTTGTAAAAACAAATTATATTTATACAAAAATATGCAATAAAAACATATTTATAAATATTAATGTTTGTATTATACGGGTATAGAATCAGTGACTATCAATGGTAAGATTGTGTATTAAACTGTTATACCACCAAGGTCTTTAATAAATATATTCTGCCCATTCTCACATTAATTTAGAAATTCAATTAATTATAATAAATCAATATACAACATATACACTGAAATATTTGTTGTTTTGATAATAATGCATTAAAGTTTAGCCTGCCAGCAGGTCATTGGGATAATGCATATATATCATTATCTAATCTGCTTATCATATATTGCAATGAAATAACATATTCCGGATATGATCTCTGATCAGGTCAATGGGGACAGTATTATAATATTTTATAACATAAGTCAAACACATCAATTCAAAATCCACTTAATACAATATAATAAATATTATTGATTAAGTGGATTTTAGCTTGATCGAGGATCGAACATCAGCACAATAAGGGTTGCCAATAAATCAGGCTATAGGTTATGATACCTACCTCATTTAAAATTATGATCGTTTCGAATTAATTTATCTATTTTGACTTTCCTATCCCTTTAGACTCGTTTACTTATATTAAAAATTCTTTTTACAAATTTACTTTCTCCGTCTTAGTCATTAGCATTACATTGCTTTTACTTACTCGTATTGTAATTTCTCGCTCCTTATTTTATTCTAGTTTGACATAATGTTTGGCGTTTCCTATTAATTCTACTGTGATCAAAAATTACCTATTTTTATACTCGTAATTTATTTTTGTGTTTCTGTGCTTTCCTTAATTTCCCTAAATTAATAGTCGTTATCACTAATGTCGTGATCTATCGCGGGACCCTTTCAATAGTAAAAAAATATTCTTTTGGAAAATGAGAGGAGAATAAAAATTAATGAAGAAATATTTTCCTTGGCTCCCACCTTCTCCTTATAAATGAGTTTTTGTCAGAGCTTTCTTCCCCTTTTTTTAGCTCATCCAGGGTACGTTTTCTAAAGCGACAAAGCCACAGTTAAATGGTGTAAGCAATTTTGACGTTTAAGGTATTGTTAATCTATTTATAACCATTTATCGTTAGATTACCTTGCTACATGGGATTCTATTGATAAAAGGAGAAAATGACTAACTGATAAATGCATGGCAGAAACGGCCATGTTTAGATGTGTAAAACTTTACACAGAGCTTTATAATACGTAGCTTCCCGGATTTTGAAATTCTTGAAATATGATAATAATGTTTCGCAAGAGCAAAGCTACTGGAAACAATTTTAAGTCTTAGTTTTAAATATTGTAGTTTGGAAAAATTATTGTCGATTATGCCTACATGATGCTGTTGATCAATCTTTTGACGCTCTAGAACAATCTTTTGACAATAGATAGCTGAGAGATTCGAGTTCGAAAGGATAAAATATACCTATTTTGTTATTATAATTTAACGGTATTTTAATCTGTTAATCAAACAAAATGCAAAATAATATAATGCGTTGTCGTCAAATAATCATGACACAATAATCATTGGATTAACAGTAGCTTACAATAATATTATTATTATAAAAGTATGTAAAGGTAGATGTTTACACGTTTGTTACTCAAACAACCCTAAGGATTTGACTAAAGTCAAAATCTAGGATTAAAATCCTAGATGAACATAAAGAAACTTTCATGCGCGTAAAACTGCGGAATACAAAGGTCATAAAAATAAATAAGTCATTCCTAGCTATAATATTAGAAAGAAAAAAATCTCGAGAGCGTCGTAAAAATGGTTTGTAGTCGAACTATTTGATTTTAAAAATATGCCTATTGGGAAGATTAGAGAAAAAGAATAGAATATGGTATTTTGTTGCTTTTCCTGTGCCAACTGTATCTTGTTCTAGCTAGATTTTTGGTTATCAACATATTGGAAGTAGTACTCATTAGATATTATTTATTATTTATTTATGGTCATTATTTTTCAGGATACTTCGTACTAGAATTTAGAGACAATTACATATTATGATAATTGCTGTAACTCCATTCAAAATTTTAAGAAGTTAACAGTTTATTAAACTTCGCAAGAAAATAACATAAGATCTCAACATAATATCTATATTAAAAGTAAACGTACAAAAGCATATAAATAAATAAGACCAGTAATAAAATTTTTATTCTAAATTATTTACG